CACAGCCTGTTTGAATCTAAAAGACCTACTTGTGTCTGAGTACTTTTGCATTTTATATATGCCAAGAGAGGTTGTGGAATCTCCTTCTCTGGAGATCTCCATAACCTGCTTGGACACCATCCTGTGCCACATGCTCTAGGTGACCCTGCACGTGCAGATGGTGGGGTTGGACTAGATGGTCTCTAAAGATCCCTTCCAACCTTAAGGATTCTGTGATTCTGTGATTCTATGGTATGTAGCAAAAACACCCAACGTTGTTGTCTAAGGCTGGGTTGCATGAAGACGGTAGTGTGAGCTAGGCTAGAGAGAGGCTTTGAAGCACCACATCTCTCTGGGGTAGCTTTCTGTTCTCCTTTGGTAAATTGCCCTGCTCTTGTGCACTCTCTGCTTGCCTTTACTGTGCGATAACCTTGGGCATGCAGCCAGATTGGTCAGTGTGCCCTAGCACTGCAGTCTAGTTTGAAAAAGCTTTTTCCATGTCACCACGCTGTAAACTATCCTGAACACAGAGGACAGGCTGAAAGCAGCATGCAGAAATCCTTGGGCACAATGGTATTGTGCTTAGGCGAGCACAATGTTGCCTTGATTTATTTCTCTCCTGGAAGGAAAAGATTTAGGATTTGTACTTTTTAAAACTTCTGTGACAGCCTGTTAATACTCGCACTTAGAAAATACTATGAGGAAAGTGAGAGGTAATATGACATTTGTAAAAAGGCAGCAAGACAATTCCCCAGACCCTGGGGAATTCTAGACATCATCTCTTGGCTTATTCTCCTGCCTGCTCGCTGCCAGGGCTGAGATCTTTCCTTTACAACAGCTCACAGCACTGCTGAGGGAAATGAAGTACTGAAGGATTGTTTGGTGTTGTAAAAACCCTTTTTTACTTCTCAGAATATTTATGGGTCTATTAGTTTGTCTAATTTACACAATTTGCAAGCAGAAGGAATGCTTCTACCTTCACCCTTGACTATTTCCATTAGAGGAAAATTGATGCTAGTCAAAGATTTCTTTGGCACAATAGGCTTGGCATCTTCAAGCATATTTGGCAATAGACATTGTAGAGCCAAACCCAGTGGCCTTTTCAAATATCATCCAATATCTTTGTCGTTTTCTTCTCAGTAATGTTTATTTGTTCAACATCTTTCTCCTTTTATTTTTTTATGACCTTTTCCCTATTCCTAGCCTTTCTAATTGAACTGTCTCAGAAAAACTGTTCCATCCCCATTGCCTGTGCTTGAGGCAGTTGCTTCTATTATTTTATTATTCAGACTCCCAAGAAAAGTTTAATTCTCCCAAATTATTAAAGAATTATTTATTGATGCATATTTATATATATTTAATTCTTTATTCCAAAACAGCTTTTGTATCTATCTTTTTGCCGTTTTCTCTCACCTCTGCCATAGCAATAAGCATAATATTTGTGAAAGCCTGTGGAACTGGATTATTCAACGGAAAGTTCATTGAACATCCAAAAACACTCGCAGTCAATATCTATTAATTAATGCAAAAGCTAAGCAATTTAGACTGACTCTCGAGGAATTTTAGGAGCTTTATTCAACCTACCCAGAAATGCTGGCCAAGCTGTGAGAAAATGGGGCCTTTCTTATGGTCAGAAAGCAAACTACTGAGAATGAACAGTGAGATTCAGGTCTCCAGGATAGGAGAGTTACACAGGTTCCAAATGAGAGGCATGGGATGTGTACAATTTGACCTGGTTTTAATTCTCCAGAGGACACTTCTAGCTTCTAGTGGGGTTTAGATCTCTGCACTGAGATATCCTTGTAAAGTAGCATGCGCAGATTTAGTACTTACAGTTTATATAACACACAGCACATTTTGTATGGACTGAAAAAAAAAAGCAGCTGCTATCACCAAGCACGAGCTTAAACTATACAATTACAATTCAAAAAGAGAAATGGTTAAATGTTTCAACAAAAGCATATTTTAGTAGGATTTATTAAAGATAGGACTTGAGGCATCAGTCTCAATCAGAATGTGCAAGCACAAATCTAGTAGATTTCTTTGCTGCCTTGGCTTACTGGGCTGAGTGAATAAAACATAAGCATATATGTTTGATGTGCTCGAACCCAAACATTAATAAGATTGATAATGCTTCTTAAGGAGAAATAGATGAGCAAAAATATATTTTTTAGTAAAGTCTCAGTGCAGTGATTTGTTTTGACTGTAACTGTGAAAAGGCTATGGGCAAACTTGTATTCAGAGGAACCCAGGTCTTGAAGGAACCTCAGGAGCTCGTCTAGGCCATGGTGTGGATAGTTTCATCTTGTTTATTTATTTTGTCCTGAAGAAATGCTGCTGTTGAAGACCTCACAGCCTCCCTGCCAGGTAGTCTGTTTTGCTATTAGAAAGTTGTTTCTAACGTCCAAAACTCAGACTTTCTTGCTGCATTTTTCTTTCTTACCCCATATATTACATACTCTTATTACAGTGCTGGAAGGGAGGTGGAAGAAATAAACAGGATGAATTTGGGGATAAGAAAAAGCCCTGTGCGGATGCAACATATTTTGTCAAAGCTGAGTTGTTCCAGGTATTGTTTCTGTCACTCCATGAGATTGGAATGATCTCTTGCAGGCACAAGCACAACTGTGCAGACTGGCGTGGCTGCCCTAGCAGAGCCCTGCTAGACCAAGTCTGAGCTAAGCTCACGCTGAGGCAGTGTCAAGGCACAGTATTCAATTTGAAGAGGGAACTTCTGGGCCCATGTCCCAGATTGAGAGTGGCAGGTTCTTTCTGCATGACTCCTTCCATAGTAACAGAGGTACAGGGATTGTATTGGGCACTGTTTCAAGTCAGACGGCATTAAGGGGATAGATTTTGTTGAAATGATCAAGTATTCATAACACATGTTGTGGGGAAGGCGTGCTGGTGAGAGAGCCACAGAGTGAGGCAGAGGCAAATGCTACTCATGTATAATATGGACTTTTCCAGAGGATATTCCTGCCTAGCCTCAGATCATCCGGATTTGTGAGAATAGGAATTATCCTTCCTTCCCTGAATGCCAGGGTTCCCTCCTTTCTTTGCTGCTGATGGGGTGTCTGAGCAGCCCTGTTGAGTGCTGGGCGATTATGTATGGCAAGTTTGTAAGCAAGAGGCCTTTTTAAGCCTTGTGCTCCCTGTTCTGCAGTTCAGTGGCTGGCACAAGCCTTGTGGTCCGGAGCTGCTGCTCTGCCTGTTTGCTGCCTGTAATGACATGCAGATTGTGAGAACAGCAGTTTGCATTTCCAAGCCTCACCCTGCCCTCTCCATGTGGGCAGCAGCATTCCCTGCTCCGTGGGTTTTGAGGAGCGTTCTGTACCCAGGCAGGGAAGAAAGAATTCCCCAAGGATTGTTGGGTCAGGCCTATTGCACTGACCTCAGGGGTTTATATTTGCCCTCCTCACTCTTGTCTGAGTCAAGCTCATTAAAACATAATGAGCTGCACACATGGCAATCTTGTGATAGCTGCTGGTACATCCCCGTGTCTTCTGAGTCTGCATGTTCTGTGCTCAGCGTGTGGTGTCTGGGTACTCACTACTCCACGTCTTCCTCCTTTTTTTTTTTTTTTTTTTTTGGCATGCTGGCAAATGTTTCTAAAGATTTTAATGTTTTGAAATCTCACTGACTTTGATTATTCAGCTGGGGCAAGATGTAGGCTGTGATTTAAATGTTTCTTAAGCCACGTTGATGGAAAAAATCATGGAGTTGCTTTTGCCTCTTCCCTGGAGTATGCGCCATCAGCACAATAGAGATCTGGAAGCTGACAGCTCAACATATGGAACAAATTCCCTAGCAAACTGTATGACATAGTATCCAAACCAGGGAATTCAGCAGGTTAGTAAGCATGAGCAGATTCTGCTGATTTGTACAAGAAAATGTTGTGGTGCTCTATATAAAAATGCTTTGACAGATTTTCAACTGGTGTAAGTGAGCATCATCACTAAAATAGGGCCTTTTTGAAATTCTTGAGAATCTGGCCACATATCAGTAGAGTTTTTAAGTCCTCCAAAAGTTAGGGCATATCTTGGCCCTACTAACATGTATGGCCCTTCCAAGAGTGATGTATATTTGATTAAAGAGTATTTCTGATAAGCTGAGCAGGCAGCAGTTGGATGCAGGTACCCTTAACACCCATGACCAGTCCTTAATGCAGGACAAACTGCCGGTCATGGACAGAGAGAGCTGCTTTCAGCTGCTTGTTTTTAGCCTCAGGATGTTTTCTGACCTTTTCTTAAGACTCACAGAGATTTGCTAAGCAACTGGAAGGGTGAATTTATCTGTTATCCAGTGCTTGATCTGGTGGCTGGCTTCCCCAGCATGTTGCAAGGTGTTAGAAAACTGTGCTAGGAAATGGTATCGGAGCAGTGTATTTCACAAGATCACTTGTATTTTTCACTGTATTTGCATGAAAGTTGGTTTATGGACTTTGTTTTTTCTTTTTTTTTTAGTAGAAATGACTCTGGGGCAATGAGTGAGGAGTCAGTGAAACACCAACACACTGAACCTACAGATGTGATAGTAGATCACACGAAAATCATTCTGGTTATGTAGTGAATGTTGCAGCGTCACCGTCCCTATCACACCCACCGCAGGATTTCTATATGATTTCCTGGTACTGCTGTTGCCTCCCGGGTACGATCAGCATGAGCCAGGGTTATTTGTGTGGGTGGAGCCGGTTCCAGCATCCTTTTTCACTGAAAGCTGATACTAACAACCACAGGCTGCAGATGAAGTTTTCTGAAATGCTAAACACCACATGCCTACTGACAAGGGGATGTTTTGGATCACTCTAGCCTTGTCCTTACTGTTTCCAAGATTGTCACCCTAGTGAAATGTTTATTTTGCTCCCTTGCCACCTGTTGACTCCCCCTAAGTCTGAGACACAAACATGCTTTTTCTGAAACACGAAACAAGCGCGATAAAATGGCCAATCCCCAAACCACCACTTAAAAACTTACCACACAAAATGTCATAATGTCTTAATTTTGTATGTTTATTTTTAGTCTTGGAGTTGAGCCAGGTGGTAATTCCCACTTACGGAACGGTGCCAGATCAGCAAAACCTTCATACTCCAGAATGGGTGGGTACTTCTTTACTTTAACTATGACTATGTAGAATTTTTCCTGGTACATGTAAGCAACAGTGGGTAACTGTTCCAAAGGAAGAGCCTGCTCTTTGCATTTGCAGTGTGTGCAGTTCCCTCACGTGCTGAAGGATGGACGGCTGTGTTTCTGTGTGCCGAAAGGTACTTGCAGTCCCCCTGGTGTGCAAATGGAGCCTGACACAGACACTGAATTTGATGGAAAGTGGCAAGTCACTGGATTCATTACAAACGTGTATTAACTGACACATACACCTCCACTATATACACGCTTGTATGTGTCTGCATGCCTAGGGGTTGTGTGTGTAGGGATACAACACACCCTACACACAAACCCATACCCTCTTGATTCATATACATTCAATTATTAGTTGGCTGATGTGTAAGTTTGTTGGCTTTAGATATGCCTAGGTACCAGAGTAGCATATTTCACAAGATCACTGTTATTTCATGCTGTCTTTGCAGGGAAGAAAGTCATTTGGCATGTAGGGGCAACCCAGAAGTTCAACTCCAGGGGTCTGAATTAAGTCTGCCCTGTCTTGTATACAGATATTATGACTGGAGCTGTGCAATTAATTTATTTCTTGGTTTGGTCACCAAAATGAAAGCTATTTTAATTCATATTACATTGAAGTGAGAAACAGAATCATGAAAGAAAACCCCAAATTTCTGTAGTGTTAGGAGAAATACAGTGTTTCAAAAGCAGCAGGAATGACGGAGCAGATTACCTTTTAACTACATCGAAGTGTAGTAGGGCCTTACGGGAACTGCTTTAGCAGCTTAGCTGGCCACGTACTTTTCATAGCAGTTTCCATGTAGGTTTAGTTCCCGCCTCTGTTGTAGGAAACAAATATTCCGTGTACCAGGAAGAGAACTTTCTTCTGGGAGCCGACTACACCAGGGTTACCTGACCTCCCCTTAGGATGTTTTGACATCGTGTTCTCCGTTTGAGGCTGCTTCGGTTTCCGTAAAAATATTTAAACATTTTTGGAGCATAAACTGGAACCAAGACCTTCTGTTTCTCAATTCAGTGCCATGACTAGGCAGTTATAAAAACCTTAGACTCTATTTGTGGTTCAATGATTTTTTAAAAATGTATTTATATGAAGTGGAATAGTATTTAAACAACTAGTATGTCATATACCTTGTGGTTAGGGCATTCCTCTCTGAGCAGTCTTGTAGAATTATTTTTATTTCTACTGAAAATTCACCTTCAAAATCAATCTTTATTTTTGGTTACTAGTGTTTACCAGCAGTTGTAATTTCTGCTCAATTTTAGCAGCCTCTTTTCTGTACTGCTCCCTCCATGTCAGGTCTTCCTTTCTGTCCCTGTGCCCTGCTGGACAGTTTCATTGGTCTGAGGGGCCAGAAAGATTGAATAAAACTGAGTACTAGCATGTCTGTCTGTGAAATGGATAACATGAGAGCCAATCCACTCGGGTAGAATTAGAAATTGAAGTTGAGTAACGAAGTATTGGGCCTATTATCTAAACTTAGATTGTACTTTCCAACCGAAAGTAGTCTGTGAGCTTAACTTGATTTTGCAAACCGTGTTGGAGTAGCCAAAACTGTGAATAAACTACCGAATAATAAAAATTGCCCCATCTTTTTAATGATGCTGGTACAGGATCACATGTTCTGTTTGCCACAAGATCCCTGTCTCAATCTGCACAAAACTCCAAATTCTGTGAGGAAGGATGTTGCATGTAGCTCTTCAGCAAGGTATAAATGTGGGAGGAAACTGTAGGAAAAGAATGAATGGTCTTATGACTGGCAAAACTGAATGCTGCTCCGGATAATTGGATTTTATCCCTGCTGCTGCTGCAGGATTTCTGGGAGGCTTGTTAAGTCACTTAAGCCCAGGATTTATTTACTGAGTGCCGAAGGGGAGCATCTGTGGCCTTGTTTGCATTAGCACAAAATAGTCACAAATAGACTTAAAAATGAGTGTAAGGCACTTGGAAGAGATAGAATTGCTAAGCACTCTGGAAGGAAAAAAAGAAAGAAAATCAGTCTCCATGTGTCTCAAGCTGGAACACCAGATTTGTTAGACACTCAGCAGTACTTGGCATTTATCTATAGAGGCCTCATGCGATGACTGGTAGTCTTGGGATTATACAGTTGCTTTCTCTCCTAGGTCTTTGTAAAGTTAAATTTATTAACATTTGCTAGGGGCTGTTTACTTCAAGTGTGATGGGAAGAGTTTTTGAATGAAGAAGATGATAAGGAGTAATCCCTAACTGTTACAAAGAATGTTGAAATAAAGCATATGATCATGCAGTTAGATCTTATATCATAAACAGGTTGTATTATGAAGACAAAACTGCATATCCAATCTGAATTCAAGCATTTTCCAGCTCTCGAGTAAACATTTGGCAGTCCTAGTTGCTTTATAGGTAGGTAGTTTGGATTTGAATGTAGCAGTTTCGAGATAAAACTTCTGCAGGGGAGATCTTTGCCAACACCCCCAGCTTGTGTACTAGTGCTGCCCTTCAAATACAGTTTCTGTACTTCCGAAAATTGGGAAAGGGTGAATTTCCCAGCTTCTGCTCCAAAAAGAGGAGGAGAGGTGGTGCCAAGCAGGTTTTCAGTGGAGTGCTATCTTCACCTTTATTTGAAAGTAAGTCTGCTTGGTCTGTCTCTAATCAAGAGTAACTGGAATTCCTTGTGCGACCAGAAGTCTCGCACAAACTAAAACAGGAAGTCAAGTGGGTGTCTAACCTAAAGTTAGCACCGGGGACCAGGCATCCCGATGTCTGGCCCGTGCCCAACTCTCTTGTGCTGACAGAAATACATGGCTGTAGTGACGCCCCGTATTTTTCTCCCTTGTAAAAAAAACCCTTAGTCTCAATTTATTTCCATTTACCAGATATGAATTGTTGCTTTGTTTTCATGTTGAGATGCTGAAAACAATTTCTCTTGATTCATGTTTGCTAATAATCTCATTGTTGCCAAAAACAGAGCTAAAACAGTCCTGTGTTGTTATTAGCAAATATGAGTCACAAGGGAAGTGTTAAATGCATAACAGGTTTATTGCCCTTTAAACACACCAACATTAGCTTCTCGTGGTCTGCAAAGAAGTTTCCATCTTCCAGAAGTAAATGCTTTGTTGAACTTATTGCCAGAAAAGTTGTTGTGTTCATAGGTCACTCTGAATATAAAATAATTAAGGATCTTCTTATATCGCTGTGTATATGTAATAAAAACTTTACATTTTTGGCAGTGTTTTCACCAGATGATCTCAAAGCACTTCACAGGTAATTATATTTCATGATATACGTGCAATATCATTTATTATCTTTTAAAGTTTTCGATTTGAAGAGAGGCCCTGAAGCGAGAACTAGCCATGCTCCTAAGCAGCTCCTCTGCAGTGATGCCCCTGCTGATGGCCAGAGCTGAAGCGCCGCCGCCCGCAGGAGGTGGGAAGCCCCGCTCGCAGCCAGGGGTGATGCTGCCATGGGCTTTTCTGGGAGCGCTGCCCGTGCCTGGCTGGGTCCCTAGCAGGCGTCAGGAAGCTCTTCCGAGATGCCCCCCAACTGCCTGAGGTTGCAGACCCTCAGTTTATCCCCTGCAGGAGTGATTCCGTTTGGCACCGTTGGCCAGCACACTGAATGCTCGTGGGGACCAAATAAAGCCCTTCTGTCCTTCCAGATAGGGCAAGTCAGGCCTGCAGAAGTCTCATTATTTAAAGAAGTTGTCCACCATACTGTGCTTGTGCAGGCTGTAGTAAACAATAAGGAACTGCAACTCCTTTGCACACGTTTTTCTTCATTATTGTCTCTGAGCTGCCCTCTCCATTATTATCCCTATTGTATTTTAACATAGTGCCCCAGGAAACCTGTGTCAGTGTTTCTTTGTCACGAGCTTCTTATTATTGCAAGTCACAAACAGTTGCAACCAGTCTTTCTCCCCTGGAACAGGCTTTTCTCCATGTTGCTGAAGGGAGTTTTGGTTAGAGTGATCTCCTCTCGTTCTCTGCTGCAGAGATCCCACGTAGCCCTGACTGCAGGAGCTGTCTCCGCTTAGGTACTGAGCTACCTCGTCCCAGGATATGCTCCTGAAAAGCATCTTCCAAGTTAGCTGCATCCAGCAGGAATGCGATTCCTGGTCTCTGAGACGGTTCTGCAGAGCAAACCGAAGCACAAACGCTGGAGACACCAGGGAGGTTCAGTTTGGGACAGTACCCTGGGCTGGACTGAAGCCTGGAGACACTCGCACACTGACACGGCCGTGCTGCTTCCAGCCCAGCTCATATAGGTGTATCCCAAGTGTAACATTTCTGGAAAACTTATCACAGCCTGGCCCTCCATTCCTTCAGATTCCTGATGTTATAAGGCCGCTGGTAGTTCCCTACCTTGCCGTGCTAGGCTAGCAGTTGGTTTTACAGCACTTGAGAGTTCAGCAGCACTACAGAGTATGCACTAAATACAATTACTACTGCACAGCTCATGTATTTTTTTGCATTTATTAGCGATGTTAGTCAGTATTAACCTGCTATCCATTAAGGTAATATTATAACATTCGCATGGGCAACTCTTTGCCTGCATCAGTACTCAAAATGTGTTGATGCTGAGGCTCAGAAAATAGGTAAGTGCAGTTAGCAGGGCCCATGTTTGCTTTCTCTCAAACACAGAGGTACCAAAGGGCTTGTTCATTGCCTTGGGTTAGAATGTGCTGCTGATATTTAAGCAAAATTATGTATTGGAATTTCAGCCCTATGAAATTGTGTGCATGTGCATTTCTATAATAATGATGTTTGTAATATTATTGTCAAATAATACTACATACTTACAAAAACACAGTCTCGAAGGAATTACTAACTGCAGGATGCAGCAGTTTCCTTTTTTTCTTCTTTTTTCTTTTTGGTTTCCAGTCCTGTGCTCCCTTGCTAATTATACTGAATAATATATGATTTTTCAATACTAACTATCCAATAGGGACCTTTGGAAACACCACACATCTAAGTTAGTGCAGCTGTTGCAACCCTGACTATTTCTTTTCCTTTACATTTTACTTCTCACATTTTAATTGAGCAACATTTAATGTTACATTACAACTGATTTGTGTGGGTCTTGATCTTGATGCCTAAGTATTCCCATTAATGAGTCAATTCTTCAATGCATATAGTGTCTGCTGGCAGGTCGCTTGGACATTGCCGTAGTAATGAAAAACAGTAGAGATTACGGTTAAGAAATTGGCTTCCTAAGTGTGAGCTTCTGCATAGCTGGAGCCATATAGTTCAGTAATTTTTCAGCTATACTCTTATTATATATATTATACATTGTTTCACAGGTATGTAGAGGTGTATGAATATAACAATATGCCTATACTTGTGCATGAACACACACACAAATAAATTCACCAATCAGAAGGCTGATTAATGGGTAGCCTTTGCCTACTTGCGCTGCTACTGCCCATCCTTTAATGCCAATTACTATAAAATTAGACACAGTTTTTATAAGCTTAAAGAAGATGACATTTAAAGGAAAATTATTTGAATAGTAAAGTTATGCAATTGCAGATTGGGAAAAGCTTTCTCTTAGAGTTCCTGTCTGATTGCCATGTAATTTATTTATGTCCTGTACATAGGTTCTGTACACTCAGTAGCTAAAAGCTATAAGGAAAAATCCTTAAAGTTGTTCCAGTTTCCATGCTTTAAGTGCTCAAGGTTCACTGCTCACTCTCAGCTGGTTTGTACCATGGTTGCACTTGTTGTTATTCATGACCGCAGAGTTGGGTCTGGCTCTCCAGCATGGCAGCACAGAGCAGGTTTAGGCAGGGAGCACCGGGAGGAGCAGGGGCCGTGGGGGTAGTGCCCGGTGCGACTGCAGCTCCCTCCTGCTCTCCTGCTGCTGCTCCAGCAGCTCCCAGACACTCTGTGGGCAGGGAGGCTGCAGTGTCCTCGTGCCCGCGAGACGAGGCAGATGGGGACATCCCTACCAGTTTGTATCAGACCTGTGTCTTGGGCCTGGTTCTTGCCACACTCACATATCCAAGCATGGTGCTCAGCTCCTGGGTGCAGACATGTCCAGGTGTCCACATTGGAGCTGCGTGTCTTAATTATCCTCTTTTAGTCTGAATTCTCTGTAAATAACACTGTCTTATCACATCTTGAGGCTTTTTAAATGGAAATACTGATGGAATTTTCAAGCTAGAAATCCATTCTGACAGAGCTGTGTTCTCTACACCGAGGACAACTCTCATCTTTTTGTGAATTTCAGTAAATGTAAAGACAGTTTCAAAATACAGGCAGAATCTGCTTCAGTAGGAAAGCAAAACCTATTTCAAAACAAAGCCAGATCCAGCAGTTTGACACTTCAGCTTCCATCTGGGAGCAGCCAACATGAAATGGTCTTAACTGTGTTTGAAAAGAGGCTGCCAATGGTAGTAGCAGGGGTGCATTTTATACTGTGGCTAGTCCTCAAGGTGAAGCAATCTTGTCAGGGTCGAGTCTGATGACTTTGTGGGCCTTTTCCAGCTCTTGTTTTCACAAATTTGGGAAATCACGTCTGTGGTTGCCTTTGGGTGACAGAAATCCTCTGTTGTGCTCTGGTGAGGACTTCTGAAAGCTCAAAGCACTTTTCCTGAAACTTTACAGTGTGCAATTGCATATTGCTTTGGTGACTCTGTTTGGACACTGTTTCCAAATCCTAGTCCAGATTCTGAAACTGCTCAGAATATATATTTATATTTATTCATATACATATATTTATATATAATGAGTGTATATATATTTATTTAAGCAGCAATTTGGTGTCAAATTTGTCACAAATGTCTCAGCAGAGTGACAAGCTGAAGCACCTTCAGACAGTGAGATAACACAGAAAAGCAATATAACCACGAATCTGTTCAAACCATTTCAAGCAACTAGATGACTGACAGAACCTTTCTTCAGTTGGTCATAACTTTTGTAGATGCAGAATAAAAAGTGTTGAGTTTAAGCTCCCATTTATTCATTTAAAACACAGGATTTTCACCAGAATTAGGCAGAAGTGCGTCCTGGTAAATGGTTTTGACTCAGCCAAAAAACAGTAACAAAACACATTATAGAGAAGAGTTTGAAATAAAACTCTTAGGGACAGTTGTTTCAGAAACATGTCCAGGTTATTCCTAGAGGCCTTCTGCTCCCTGGCAATGAGTGCTCCTGACCGCAATGACGTTCTTATCAGCTTTATCACAGCAGTTGAAGAAGAACCATTTCAGTCTGCAGGTAGGGAGTCTCTGCATTTCCATGTTCCCTCTCATGAACCCGACATTGCAGATTCCCCAAACTGCACTCAACTTGTTTAGAAGCCCTTGTGTCGCTCATGAAGTGAGGTCTACACTGGCAGGGAAGTTTCAGACCTTTGAAACCCGGAGACCTTTCCATGAGCACCAAGGCCTGATATATCCTGGAGATTATCCAGATAAATCACCCTAGGCCATTTTGCGTGTCCAGCCATCTGTGAGCCAAAGTGCCCACCATTCCTGTGTGCCAGTCTTGCCAGCTTTGGAGAACTTTCCTTCTTTACTGCAGTGCTGAGTCCTGTTTCAGTTATTTCTTACTCACTAACTCCTCATGAACAACATAGATGGATCTGGCCAGTGCCTTAGAGTTTGGCACTAGTGCTGTTACATAACGTGACAATCCTGATATAGAATTACAATTCAGATATTAACTAAAAAGAGAAGTTGTTACATGTGACAGTGCCCACAAAGTATTACAAGAAACTGCAAAGTCATTACTTGAGAATTCAAATTCCCCCATCATCAATATGTCTATATGGTCACACACAAAAAATAACACATTGAGAAGTTACTGGTGAATATGACAATCTATCCTGCATTCCTCCCGGGACTAGATAATGGCTTATGGATATATTAATCTTTTTGATTTTGGCATCTATTATAATATGATGGATGGATGGCATATAACAGTGCTCTTTGGTTGCTGAGATTTTGCTAATAGGAAGAGAAATAAATCCACATAGGATGTATTCCAGTTTGAGAGTTCATCTGCAGCCTGGCCATGTTCTGAATTCTCTGGGCACTGGTGCTTTTTGGAAATTGGTATGCATCAATCTACTCTTTTTTTTTTTCTTCTTTTTTAATTGTCAAAATGCTTAAACTTTTGACAGGTAATGAGACAGATGGGCAGGCACAAACTCTAAAGCTCCCATCAGGAAATAAAAGCATCTTGTAGAAAGTGTGTCTAACACTTTATCCATAAATATGGATAACATTTATGGATAACACTTCATCCATAAATAAATATCCAACATGCAAATTACTTGACTGATCCCTTATTCAGTATTAGTAATATATCCTAATGCTCCTCCCTAAAGCAGATATGCCATTTAACAAAGAAACAAAATAAGGTCAAATTCTGTTGTCCTTACATCATGCAGGGACCTGCCAGGTTCATCTGGATATGCCTTTTTTTCCCAGTCGTAGAAGACAAGTTCAGTGCTAATTTTGTCGTCACGTTGAACTTCTTTTTGTATGTGTCCATAGGTGTTAAATTTCTCTGTTGTTGAAATCCTGTGTTATGTGAAACAAATAAGGAACTAGCTTGTACTGTCTGTATAGTAACCTGTCCTACCTGCCTTCCAGGCTGCTTTTGATGATAAGCCTGACTCCTTGTTCTTCAGTGATGGGCAGCGAAGAATTGACTTTGTTTTGGTGTATGAAGATGAAAGCAAAAAGATGACTCACAAGAGGAGTGACCGTAAAAAGCAAAAGGTAAGCTGGTAATGCACACCTGCCTCGTTTGCTTTGTGGCAGAGCCATGGGCAGAACCGAGGGCTGTCTGTCAGAGTGCATTAAGTGTCTCTAGGCCATGCTTGCAGGAGGGAACCCTTCAGGAAATGTAAGCCAAAAAATGCTCTTTTCGAGATCCCAGTAAGAATTAAGCACTGATGTCTTCAGACTAGGACATTTTTTTTAAAATTTGATAAATGAATTAGATCCCTACTGGACTTCAGCAATAAGGTTGTTCAGGAGAGCTTACAAAAGGAAGCGGATAAGTGGCATGGTCCAGGTCTCCGTTCTGGATATGGCTGCTGACATTCTGCCCACTATGTCCTTCATGGGAGGCCTAACGCTGTGTTGCTTTTCCACCAGAACTTCTCCAAGTGCCGCTTTTTCCCTTGCCACTTGAACAGCTTAGCCCTCCTTGCGACCCTGAAAAAATTTTCTGACTTGAGCCAGTGACTACTTGGTGAGTAGTCTTGTGAGCACTTGTTTGAGTGCTTGAGCACTGCAAACAACAGCAACCAGACATTATTTTTGAATTATTTCAGTAGGTCTCACGATGAGTTTCATCCAGAAGGGCAACTCGTTCCAGGAGAACAAGCTCCGCTTTGTCCTGAAGCTGTTCTGGTTGTGAACTGCCTGGGAGATATCGGCTGGACTGTAGTGTCCCTTGGAATCCGTGCTCTCCCGCCCACTTCCTTCCTGTGATTCAGCAGCCCTTGTTTTCCAGCAGCCTGTGGTGGAGACAGGCAAGGATGGAGATATCGCCGAAAGCGCCTCATATAAATATAATGATTTGCCATTAGGAAAGGGAGAGTAGGAGTAGAAAGGCCTGCAGTTAAGCTGATTGTTCCTCATGACACAGCGTTGTCATTGGCATTGTCAGGACAGCCACGAGGAAGGTCACTAGTAGTGTCTGAGAGAGCCCCGCAGTAGGTGGATGTTACATTGCACATCGTAACTAGATCAGTGATAAAAATGAATTGAAAGGTAATTAGAAACAAAAAGCTGCCCTTTTGGAAGCAATTGTTTTTTGCAATTACCATTTTACTGTTATGTTGGTAATATTTGGCTATTGCCCAAATGTATTTAAAAATATAATGTGTCTTCTCCAAATGGTGATAAAAATTACATATGAGCAATGCATTAGTATTTTTAGTGCAGCATTAATGTTGGGACATTAGCCAGAGCCAAAGCAGGGATGATGAGAGCTGCAGATTGTGCGTGTTCTGCTGTGTGCTTCCCAAAGAGGAGGTTACTTTCCAAGGCCTCAGTCCTGCAAAGATCCTCGGCCAAACCAAGTCTATTGGGGTACTGAAGAGAAGGACGTAGCCTACCTACCTTAACAAACATAAGCTTGAGGCATATTAGACTAACATATAGGCTAACGCATAGAACATAGTATATTAGGCTCCAACATATATAGCAAAGTATATTAGACTTATAGCTAGGTAAGGTGAAGGTGGACTGGCTGGGAAACAGTTTTGCAGAAAAGGCTCTGAGGGGGTCCTGCTTGGCCCTGGTGTGTCCTGGTGGTGAGGAAAGCCACGGCTTTCTGGTCTGCAGGAACAGAGGCACAGCCAGTAGACCAAGGGAAGTGCAGACCTTGTTAGACAACGTCTAGAACACTTGAGTGAAGTCTGTCATTGGAGATTTTCAAGACTTGGCTGGATCTTGAAGCCCTGAGCAATTTGGTCTGACCCTGCTTTGAATAGCAACTTGGACTACTGTGGTCCATTCCAGCCTTGATCAAGATGCAGAATTTTGCCTTGGGACCTGCCTAACACTTGTATTCAAAGTGGAAGCAGAAGAGAAGAGAGAAAGGAGAAAGGAGCAGAACCAAAACAAACAAAAAAGTGAAAGACTAATTGAAGAGAAGAAACAAAACACATATAAACACATGTATGACTGAGTGGAAAGGAAGATCACATTTATGCTGCAGTTTTTCAGGCTGGGAAAATACTAATAGAAGGTATGCTATATGTATATAGAAGAATACTAGCAGAAGATGTAGTGATAGAGTGACAGAGTAGATACACATTCCAGTGTATCTAAATTCTCAGAAAGGTGTGGAGATGCTGGTGCCCAAGATTCATAAAGAATTTACTGGACTAATATCTTGTTGATATCTTCTATTTACCAACATTATTGTTTATTTAAGTTCTATTTTATTCTGATGCAAATGGACTTCTGCTCTTGTGATGAAATAAAATGTACCAACCTAAGGAATATTGTCATTTGCAAGCAGCCTTGAGTATGGAGCAGTTCATTGTCCGTTTCTGTTCGATGAGGAAAGGACCTAAAAATGTAAAATTTCTTAAGCAGCATCTTGTTTAATTCAAGATGAAGAGTGAAAAAGGTTCCTTGCCCATAGTACTCTTGGACTCAAAGACAGTTTTAAGGAGCCGTTATCCATAGGTTTATTGTTCACAGAACTTTCAAACTCCTGCTTGGTAAAGGGTAATGGTTCCAGTGAGATCTCTTTCACTGGAAGGGATAAAATCCTCACCACACTGAAGTCAACAGAGAAGTCTCCATTGATCTAAATCTGGCCAGAGCAACTTCACCATCCTGTGAAATGTAGGGACCCTGAAATGTAGTCCCTGGAACAAATTATGTGTGGCTTGCACTGCACCTGGCTGCATGGCATGTAGGACAGGGCAGAATCTTAATTGTTAGTGGGTGTCAGAAGTGAAAAATTTGGGGTGCAGAAGTGAAAAGTAGGACTCATCAGTCCTTTTATATGATATAATGAAAGTGGAGGAGTCCCCAAATGAATGGGAGTGATTTGAAAATCAGACCTTGAGCTAGGTATCCAATTTACTGGATGTGGAAAAATGGGGCACGGATCCATATGTTCTCCTGCATTCAGGCCTAGGATCACTGTTATATTTAATTTGAATGGCTTTCTGTCCTTATTCAATAAAAGAACGGCCCAGTGCTAGATTGTATTAATTAGTAGCTTTCCTGAGGAAATGATATCAGTGGAAAGATTGAAATAAAATACCTAAAAAAATATGTGGTTGATTCAGGAAGAAGGGGAAAGGAAAAGCTATATTTCTGAAGCACTTGGTGATTTTCATTGCTGGATGTTGGTCTGGTATCTGCTTTAAAGGAGCCAAAGGCGGAAGACAGAAATCACAGCCTCAGAAAGTGTCTAACGTAATTTGCAAACTCAAAAATTAGCAGATAAAGTTCATGTACATGACTCAGTTTGTACTCCAAACCTTTTCAAGTTGTTGCACAGTCAATTTTGCAAGTACTAACAAAAAACAAACTGTGCCAGGAGCGGATTCCAGCAACTGTAAGGGGTGGTACCTTGCAAACAAGTTCCAAAGCAGGGGTGCAGCAACTGGCTGAAATTCACATTTCTGCCTTAAGCAGGCTTTTAAGCCTCCTAAATTATGTACTCCATTTATCAGGATAGAAATTGGCAGGATAGAAATTAAATACTACTAGCCTTCCATAAAATGTTCCCAAATGCTAGTTTTGTCTGTTGGGATTCTCAAGCACCTTGTTCTTGAAAGCTAAAGGATCAACTCCAGAAGGACCGAGTCAAAACAGTCTGACACAGAACGTGCTTGTAATCCATCTGCTTCCTCATAACAGAAATTGCTCCCAGAGAATTTTACATACTCAGAATTTTTTAACGTACAGTTTTACCGAGAACTCAAGCAAGGCTGGAGAAGTTGCCTTTACAAGCAAGGAGCAGTTCCTACTGGACTTGTTTAGGCAGCCAACAAACAGAAAGCTTCCACCCTTTTTAACCACCTAGCTCTGTTTCTGCCACTGTTTAGAATGTGTCACACCTGCAGAAAAAGAACAATATTTGGGTTTAGAGAAAGAATAAAACCCCAGTGCCATTTTACACTGTAATTTGACACAATAGAGGATAACAGGCTCTATATGCTGACCCAGGAAGTTTTTATAACAAAGATGAATGAGGTCTTTGAAACGGGGAGAAGGGCAACCACACTTGCTCTCGCCTCTGCAGAATGGGTTAGCTGAAACTTATGGGAATGGGAAGCAGAAACACACACACAAAAAAATCTCTCTTCCTGAGGTAACCCCAGACTCTGTTCCATGTTTACCTAATGGAGAGAAGGAAGGAAGGCCAGACAGAAGGAGAGAATTATCAAAAATTAGGACATGCTTTCATGGGGTCTGAAATGGGTCTTTCCAAATGCAGTGATTAAAAATCACTATTGAGAGTAGGGCTAGACTGCAGTATTGTCAGTTTTATGTGGTCATGTATCAGGTTTAAAAAAATCACTGTGCTGCTTCTCATTATGATGATTATCCTCAAACATACATAAAGAGGCTTCCATTAAAACAGAACAACGCAAGCAGAGCTGCTCGGTCAGTCAGTGTGGATGCCGACAGCCCGGGCTTCAGAAGAACCTACCACACCAGCTAAGAACCTCCGAGTTGGCCGCCTATTGACAGCTCTGCTCTCCGCTCCTTTTAGCTGCTTCACTGGGGGTCCAGGGTTCTCTCTCTGTCTGTCCGTGATTTATCTGCCGGCTCTCAGGTCAGGCAGGGCTACTCACACACTCCTCTCCGTGTTAGGATTGTTCCCCTGAAGCCACACCAAAATTTTTATGGGAAACTTTTCTCTTTGCCCAAAGAAACCAACGATGTGAGGTAACATTTTTCTATCACTGTAGTCAAAGCAAATTCTTCCTGCCATTTAGCAACACGGAGAAAAATGTGCTAACTGTCTGTTAGCAAATTCCAAATTCACAATCTTGTTAGTCTGCTCAGCTTGGCAAGACAATGATCAGATACTGAAAGCATTATGGTGACAAAACAGCTCCCAAGAGTTAATCCTTATATATACCATTAATATTTATCGATGCTGTGCTTTCACTTTCTTCAGAGTGTATGTGGTTATGTCATAGTATATATTGAGTATCTCATAGTATCTTATTCTGTTGGCTAGAATAGAATTGGCTGTTCAGGCATCAAAATCTCAGTCAGTTCTACATCAGCAACTTTACCATGTCTACAATATTCCTCTGCTATTGCTTTTGAAGGTAGCATAACAAAATGCTGGATACTGAAATAAGCTTGAAACAGCTGCCATATCCCAACCTAACAAGCTATCCTATCTTTATGCTGCATTCCCCAGCCAACACAAAACCACTGAAGACTCCTCTGAGTCAAAGTCTAGCTGCTCCGTAGATCATCTTACACATAATTCTATCAGTCCTTTAAACTAGGAAAACCCTTAATTAGCAAAGGTTCCCGGGAGCTTTGTTTCTCACTACTTGCATTAATGCATTATTGGAAACTTTATATTGTCAACATTGCTGTAATATTCTGAGGACAAAATTAATTTGGTAAGCTTCTTGCCATAATACAAAATAAATAAATAAACATGCCTGTAACTGAGAATCATCTCGTATCTATTTTAGTGCTATTTGGGAAGAAATGAAACATTTGGCCCTGTGCCTTTTTTATTTGCTGAAACCCAGCAGGATTCTAGATTATTCTGTTTATATTGTTCATCTTTCAAAGGATCATATGAACATGGAAGTTGTAAAAAGATAGGATTAAATTAATAATTTTCATCAAGGGAAAAGAGGTAATAACAGAGTGGGGAAAAAAAGAGTGTGTTCTTCAGTGCCTATATTAATGGTCTGGTAAGGGAAGCCAGTAGTGATGTAGCAAAAATTACAGAGAAAATATGTAGGTTATTGAGGAGCCAAGATGACTCCGAAGCTTTAGCTTTGGGAGTGAATGAAAAGCATTATTGCCCATGAAATGCTGACAAATGCAAGGAAATCTGTCGCTGCAAGGAAGAACCTCATTCATTCCAAGTTAGTGCTGTCAGAAGAGACTGGAATAAAAAGGCATGAAATGCAAAATAGATCAAAGAATTACCTTTTAACAAGGTATGAGACTCATCCATTTAGAGCATTTATTACTACATGCAGATGGAGCAATTGAGATTGAACAGTATGAAAGGCAGAAACTGTTTATATGATTATTCACGGTTATAATTTTTAATTCTACAGTTCTTACCGTTTCAGATTCTTTTTCTTTTTTTTTTTTCTGATTCAGAGGTTTCCATCAACATTAAAGAACTGGATGAAACTCATGTGGACACAGAATTCTGGAAAGTTTCTGGCACTTTTGTGGAAGTTTCTGATATTTCCCCCCAGAGACAGGCTACTCAGTGGGTGGGCCTTGGGTCTGATCCTGCAGTTTCTGTGTTCAAAGTTCCTACATTTCTGACTTTAGAGAGGCCAGCCACAGAAACCACTGGCACCCACATTCATATTTAAACAAAAAAAAAATCCAAGCTCCTGTAGTGGTTGCCTGAGAATGCCTTAGGCAGAGGATATAAACAACTAGAAATACTGTCCAGTGGCAAGAAAACACTAGCAAAAAGAAAGTCACCACAAGAGTGGTGCTGCATGCAGCCTGCTGGGTTCAGTGAGAAAGCAGGGAGGCCCCTGAGCTGTCCTGTGTTCCTGGAAACCACTCACAGAATCACAGAATGTTCAAGGTTGGAAGGGACTCCTAGAGATCATCTAGTCCAACCTTCCTGCACACACAGGGACACCCAGAGCACGGGGCACAGGGTGGCATCCAGGCAGGTTTGGAAGACCTCCAGAGAAGGAGACTCCACAGCCTTCCTGGGCAGCCTGTTCCAGGACTCTGTCACCCACACACAGGAAAGAAGTTCCTCCTCACCTGGAGATGGAACTTCCTGTGTTTCAACTTATACCCATTTCCCCTTGTCCTGTCACTGGCCACCAAGGAGAAGAGCAAGGGCTCTTCAAAGGGCCTCCCTCCTGCCCCAGCTGCCTCCCCTGCCCCCCGTTTCCTGGGCTAATATTTGGATGCACAATCTTGAGAGCAGGAAGGGCTGGCCACCCGTGACCAAGATGTCAAGTAGCTTATTGGAGAACTATCTGTCAGGAGGTTACTTTTAAGTAAGATTATTCCACATCAATTTTCAAAATCTGTTACAAATCCTGTATAGGATTCTGTAGTTGGTATTTTGGGGAAGAAAGGCTCTTTGCAAGGGATGTGCCAAAGGAGTTGAGTGCATGGAGGTTATAAGAGGGAAAGAAACTCAGGATCACCAAGACTTTTCAGAATTTTTGTAACTGCCCTAGCACCTAGTGCTGTCTGGCACTGTGAAATGAAAATAGATAATCTATGAATTACCTCTTTCTCAAAGGAAACATGTTATCCTCTTCCAGAGACACCGCGTGCTCTCATATACTCATACGATTACTATAAAAAGAAAACAAGTTGCAAACTGCCAAGAAGAAAGTAGATATTGATTTTCATGGGAAGTCCTTGAGATGAAGAGTGTTTTCTAAAAGGCAGATTAGTGGGCAGAGGGAAACTGAGAGGTTCAGCTAGTGGTTAAGAAGAATATCACAAGTCTTAAGTATAGTTATTGTCACAAAGCCAAAATATGGGTCTATCTTTTACATCTGTAATGTATCATGAACTGAACCAGTTATAAGCCATTGTAATCCAAGAGGATGAAGTCTCCTCCTAAGTGGCATTCGAGGACATTGTTGCCTCTTGGTCAAAAACATAGATAAGTAGTTAAGAATGCGCTCATTGCCCCGTCAGCAGCTGCCAAGAGGGCTTTTCAGTTAATGCCTTAATGATTCTTAATTTTGGGAAGCAATTCCATTCTTCTAGGCATATGTGATTGTAAAATGTGTGTTGGAGAAGATGTTTCATAATTTTCAATCCCTTTTAACAGAGGAAGAGACAAGTTTATGAATCCAATCTGATAAACAACGGTCTGCAACTTGAAGCCACAAGATCGGTGAGTATTATTTTGTTTCAGCTGATGGCTGTCTCTGAGAGTGACTGACCCTATTTGGATAAGGAAACGGGATATATGAATTTACTGAATTTTTTTTTGTCCTCCCAATATAGGATAACAGGGGAGGCTCACCTTTGTTTTTCTGTCAGGAAGGTTCTTTCTGATCCGTTAAATTTTGTGTCCTTTTCTTCCTCTACAAAATGAAACATATGGAGTAGAAAGATTAAATAGTTCATGTTTGCTCAACGCTTGGAAGATAAAAAATTACTGGCTATATTCTGAGGACAGATTCTCCTCCTACATCTTGCTCTTTCTTGGAAGTGTAAATAAGCCAGTGGGTGTCAGAGGGGCAGTTTCCTGGCCCCAAAAGTGCCCTGTAAATGCTCCTACCTTTAAGCGACCCAGCTCCTCACAGGGGCTGGCACAGTGGAAGCAGTTGTAACCATCATGCTTGGTATATTTGGAGCTGCAATGTAGCCTGTAGGCAGTTCAAGAGAGCTGTTACAGAGCACAAGAGCTGCTGGAGCTGCAGACTCTTGCCCTATGCATTGTGCAGCTTTCCTTCCATTCCTGCAGGACTGCAAGACAGTGTATACCAGTGTATATTTGTTAGTATTTGGTAATTTAATGAGCTCTGGAATGAGAGTCATTTTGCCTGTTTCTTGCAAATTGGATTCTGAATCCTCACAGTCTTTGTTAGATCTCTGCACTGAGAGCTCTTGTTGCACGTCCAGGGATGTGGTCTGGCTCTTTCGTAACAAAGCTGGAAGTCTAACACGGATCTGTTGCTGTACTTACATTTCACAGTTTTCAGTAATTCTGCAAAACTTATGGTTTTAAAGCTTTTGAAACTGGAAATTATCTTCAGTCTAGATCAGAGATATCTGAGAGCCATTCCTGAACCCATGAGCACATTAATGTCCCGGCACGTGCTGCGCAGACCGCAGACAGTATCGGCAGTCAGGGCTCCCGCTGCACGTTGCTGCAGGTTGGGCCTGCAGCTGAGAACAGATGAGATCGGTGCAGTCTTTCTCATCAGTCTTTACTGGCTTTCTTTTATTTTTTATATTCCCTCTTTCCCTCTCCCTGTTCTCCATGCAACATTCAGAGTTGCCAGAATCTCCCACTGCAGCACAGCCTTTTTCCATCAAGTGACATAACCCAGCCGCTGTATTTGAAGTGCTGGGGAGAGGCACTTACAGCTCCAAAGGCCCCGCTTGGCCAGCCAGGCTAGGTGTACCAACACCCCTAGTTAATCCGTAAGGGGTAAGCTGCCTTAAAATGTTTTTTTGAAGTAGACAGTAAATAGATTGTTTGTAAAGCAGAGATTTTAACGTTATAGGAACATTTTTCAGTCTTTTTTTTCCATAGTTTGCTACTTTTATTTTCACCTGCTGCTCTTACCTTTATAGAAGCTAATGATATGCTCACTAAGATGGACAAAGAATGCAACCTCCAATAGGTCATCTTTGAGTTTTAATGAGACAGAAAAATCTGTGTAGCTTTAAAAGTGTTAAGAAAAATCCTTTACTCTCATTTTCTTACACACGTATATTTTTAATATTCTTTCACTTTAGGTCTTGGATGAAAAACTTGTTTTTGTAAAAGTGCACGCACCTTGGGAAGTGCTTTGCAGATATGCTGAGGTTATGCACATAAAATTGCCTCTGCAGCCTGATGACCTGAAAACCCGGGATTCAGCTTTCAGCTGGTTTAGTAGTCTGTTCAGAGTGGATGAAAATATCATCAAACCTGAGCAAGAGTTTTTCACTGCCCCCTTTGAACGGGAACATTTGTCCAACTTCTATATTCAAGACAAAGATACATTTTTCAATCCTGCAACTAGAAGCCGAATTGTAAGTACAGAGTATTTCTAGCTTTTGATCTTAAAATGGAAAGGTTACTATAATTAGATTTAGATCAGCACTATTACCTTTATTAAATCATCCTGAAATATTGGAAATATTTTGGAGGCAATAGCTCTGTGTCATTTTTGAAATAGACTGCACAATGTAGGAGGAAGTCATTGCATAACTTTGTACCTTTCCCTTCCATAACTTTGTCCCATTCCCTTCCACCTAAATTCATGCTAGAATTTAAAGGAAAGATTCAAATGGTTCTTATGCCTCCTACAGTTAATTTTGCTTATACTCCTAGCCCTTTTCTAACAAAATTATATGTTGAAACAGATATTGTTCCATATGATTATTTGCAGGTTGCAAGAGACACCAAGCATTTTTGTGTTTCAGGTTCATTTTATCCTCTCCCGTGTGGAATATGCAACGAAAAACAATGTGAAGAAGTTTGGCATTAACAAATTGCTAGATTCTGGAATCTACAAAGCTGCGTTTCCCCTTCATGATGTAAGTCAAGTGCTTATAATAGTTATCTAGTTAGAAATAGATGAATGAAGCTTGAGAGAATGTGTGTTGGTATACAGTTTGCTTGTTTTTTAATAGCAGAAGATACAAGCACTATTGATTTGATTCCCCTACTTTTTGATTGGTTCTTATAACTATGTAAAAGAATGGTACATTTTTTGGCTAAAGAGATTTTTTTTCCCAAATCACATTTGTTTTTACAAGAAAATGTAGATCTTTTCTAAAACGGAAAAAAAGATGCTCCATAACTGAAAAACAAAGTATTTAATTTAAGAGATGTTAATCTTCTGTAATCTGTATTCATTCTGCTAATCTGTTCTGCTGTAAAGTGCTTCACTAGTAGAGGAAACTGAGAGTACCTGAGTGGTAGTTCCCATGACACACTATCTTATAATTCTTAAATCAGTGTTTTAACATAATTCCTTTTATCAGTATTCAATTTTTCAGTTTTAAAATTTCTATCAAATATCCAAGTTTTCAATAGAGATTTAGAATACAAATCTAATTTAAGGCTGTGTCAATCTTTCAGAATAAGGTACATTTTCAGTTTACAAACATTGTCACATGTCTGCAGTAAAACTCACTCTTTTGCAGGAAGGCTTTGTAGGGCCAGTACAACACTTCAGTAGATGATGTCAGAGTCATATGAAGATTTGACTCCCCTTAAGAGGGGTGGATTTAACCTTAAAATGACAGTAAATCCAGCTTTTGTAGATACATTTCTGAGATGACTTCTATTTTTAAGATATATCATTTTAAGGAAATATAACTTAAATCAACTTCTACATAAAGGCTAGCACAGAAAAAGAAAAGAAGGAAAAAAAAACAGATCTCAGAATATTTGACTAAGGAAAAACTTAGTATGAGGGTGCAAGTGGGATACAGTAAGCACGGACTGAGATGTGATTTTCTATATTACCTCTGCACACACATGTCTCCTCCTCTGTCAGAACCACTGTTTTGTATTTAAGGTGTATTTTGTTTGAAAGAGATTCAGAAAATGAGAGATCAGGAATGATGAATATCTGAAATATTTGGACTAAACATAAAGTATTCCGAAAGCCTCCAAAGATATCAGGAGAATGTTGTAGTGAGAATCAAGACAAATCATCCTGCTTGTGAGTAATTCAAAGCCTTACAGGATCGAATAAATAAAATTCAAGATTATCCATTACAGTTTTCTTTTAATGATTTAAAACTTGCCTTGAAGGCTACTTCTATCATGGAGCGGGGAATTTTAGCTCAATATGCTTGGCAAATAATGAATGCCTTTTCATACAATTTAAAAAATATATCACAGCTTCTCTAGAGACCAAGAGTAGCCAACAGATTTCAAAAATGTACCTTGCCTTGTTACAGACTGAGAATGGAAAATTCCATCAGATAAAATAGATTTTATTGAAATAGATTTTCAAGTAACCTAGTAAAAAACATGCATTATGTGAATTCTCTTTTAAATTTAAAACAGAGATTAAAAGCTCTGGATTTATCCTGTAGACTTTCCAGACTGTACAATACGCCCTGAAGCAAAACATTTCTGCATATTACAGCTACTTAAAATACATTTTAATTCAGTCCTATTTTCTAGTTAGAATGAATCCTTTTCTAGTTCTATTCCTAAGTGTCAAGGCACTGACATGTACTTAAGTTTGAGTTCATGATTAGTGTCTACTGTTTTGTACTCGAAAGTGTAAAGCTAAGTGTTTGCTTTCGTATTCATGGCCTTCCTGACAACCTCCTGTCCTGAATCCTGACATGCTCTTAGAGCTGCCCTCCTGCTCCTTTCTCTGCCTTGGCCTGAGTCTGGGCCAAAAAGCTATTCCAGACTCTGGTTTCATGACATAAGGTCTGTGAAGATGACAGTTGATCCATGCTGGTTAAATTAAATATATCTCCTTCCCATGCTCTTTCTATTTTGCAGTCTAGTTTCAGTCACCTGTCAACTGACCCTGACTGTCCAAGTGAACGATATCTTCTCTACAAAGAATGGGCTCACCCTAAAAACATTTTCAAACTTCAACCACTGGATTTTATCAGGTTGGTGTGACTGCAGCTGGACTAATGCAGAAAAACCCAGAAAATTAATTAACAGATCTGGTGTTGAGGATGTCAAAGAGATACAGCTCAGTTCCAAGAGCAGATAATGTACACCTGCTTTAGACTATGCATTGGAGCATACTTTGAGCTTGATTTCCTAACCAAGTAGTCATAGAAAAGCGAGGAAAGGCAACCATTTCAAAATTTTCTTTGCAAAGAATCATCTCTCTTTCTCCTTTCTTTTTTTCCCCCTTGCTGTCCTCTTGTAGAAGCATAAAAGTCACAATAGAGATACCTAGAAATTACCAGGTGTAACACTTCTGTAATCCTATAGCTCAAACCAAGGGAATGTGACAATGGGGGCTGGCACAAAAAGTATGAAATGAAGAGCCATTTGAAACAGAAATGTGAATATACTTGGATTTCAGAAGAAATCTTTCCCCTCTGCAGGAAGTATTACGGAGAGAAAATTGGAATCTATTTTGCTTGGCTGGGCTTTTACACTAATATGCTGATCGTAGCTGCAGTTGTTGGAGTTGGCTGTTTTCTGTATGGATGCCTGACAAAGGACAACTGCACCTGGAGGTATCTAATCAATCTGATCATTTTAATATTGTGAACAATTTTGATCAGTCCCCTACTGTACAAATTTTGCAAGACATTGTATGTAAAAGTCAGTGGCAGAATGAAAGAACCTGAGAATGACAGTTGTGGATTTGAAGGTAGAAGCATAATAAATGAGATTAAAGAATAATAAATGTCTGTGGACCGTTACAATGATAGACATTTGAGAGTGTGCCCTTTCATCATTTTCTTCATACTTGGTTCTATGTTCACTACACCTAGTGTGGAAATGCAAAATGCAAAGAAAAGAGTGACAACTAGCAGTCTGTATAAATTGCTGTAACACATCATTTTCAGTATGGTAATCCTTAAAGGATATATCAAGAGACCCTGATTGAAAAAAAAAAAAATCCTTTTCCATAGTTTGAGAAAATTGAACATGAGGAGCAACAGAACAGCAGGCTTCAACAGCCCAGGATACCTTGAGAAGAGAGATTGGCAGAGTCGTAACACAAATTCACTTATCAGAGTGTGACAGAATTTAAAGAAAAAACACCTTGGGGACTGAACCATGTTCTCTACAGGCCATCACGTTTTATAGTTCCCATCAAGAAGGGTGTGTTTCCATATTAAACATGATGAAGGGCTGTTCCAGAGCACCACTCCTGTGTTGATTGGAGTCAAGCAGATTCATGATCAGTTTGTACTCATTTAGTCTTATGCCAGTATTATCATTAGTCTTATGCCAGTATTATCTTTTAGATAAATACTTATCTGTCTTCCCAGTGTTTACCTAGTTGATATATTTATGGAGATCAAGCACATCACCTTTCACCTTCTGCTGCACTATTTTACATAAGCTAAGCTGTTTTGCCGTCTCTTAAGAGACACAGTTTTGCCGTTCTTCTCATCACCCTACCAGCCCTCCCTTTCCATTTTGATCCTCTTTAGAAGACCACAGAGACCAGGCAGTTGGTTTAGATTTGCTGCTATTTTATGTTCTGTTAGTCAGAGTTCCTCTCCTCTCCTGATAGACCTGCTGTTGTAGCTGGTCTGAGCATTGTGATGTGGGTTTCAAATTGAAGAATGCAAGATGAATTAAGATCTGAAGAGTTACTGTAATTTTAATGCAAATAGTTTTGAGAATTGCTACCAAGTGTATAAGGCAGAAATTATTTTCCTTCAATGTCTTCCATTCTTGAGATGAGAGCTAAGAATGGAAATAGGGGGTGTTGAGGGAGGGGGTGAAATTCTTGAGAGCAGATACCTGGTAAATTATTTCTCTGTTCCCTGAGATCAGTGCACTGTCTTCACATGAGAAAAAGGGCTTCAGAAGTTAGTTTTGGTGAGTAACTGACTAGTTTTCTTTTTAGCCAAGAAGTATGTGATCCCAGCATAGGAGGTAAAATCATAATGTGCCCTCAATGTGATAAAGTATGTACCTACTGGAACCTCACCATCACTTGTGAATCATCCAAGGTAACTACATATACAGCATATAAATTTTGTTTGATACAAAATGAAACGTTTTGGCTTCACTTCAGGGTACTTTTTTCCTTTTGAAAAAAAAAAATCTGTTATTAAAGTCTTGATTCAGAGTTAAATAATTTTGCTTAAGACATTTGGGTAAAAATGTCTTGACCTTTCTAAATTTTTATGTGTGCCTCCTCAAACAAATTAGCTTAATCTGTGCCTTGAATTTGACGTGAATTTTAAGAAGGAGGTGGGTACATGGAGAGGCCCGTGTCAGCCACGACAGGAGATACTATCAATAAAGATTATTTATTAAATTGCAATAGAGCTAAAACTCAAGGCTTTTGGTAAGCAACTTCTGTTCTGGGTCAGTCATTAAGCCATTATATTTTAAAACTTCTCTTCATTTTTTTCCAGAAACTCTGTATATTTGATAGCTTTGGAACACTGGTATTTGCAGTATTTATGGGAATATGGGGTAAGTTATTTTCAATAACTGTGGTTTGTCATCTAATTTTGACTTAAGACTAAATCACTAGCCAAGAAAACGTGGATGAGCTCACAACTACTTCATTTTCTAATAGGTAGCAGTTAACGAATAGATAATTCAGTAGAAGACATATACGTATATTCACAATTTTTAGCATCAGAACAATGCAAAATATTTTAGAACTTAAAGGGCCAGGTGAGAATGTTGCTCAGCAGTGTTTGTTTTGTTTCATCTGACTTGGAGAAAAGTAGAAGAGAAGTAATTAGAGCTTCCTCATGTTCATCCACATGCTTAAATATCTCTTGGCAAAGAAGCTGTTTTGCTCCAAAGAGTCTTGGAGCTGTTTGTGCCTACTAACATCTGTGTGTCTATGCAAGGCAGTGGAAAAAGACTGTCATTTATTATATTTTCCAGATTTTTTTTGCTCCTGTCTTCATTTAGGAAACTGATCTGGTAAAAATGCAGTAATGACAAGCACTAGAGATATCGTGCAGCAGAGAAAATGTATGTGAAACCAGGATGTTACCTCTCAGTGAAACCACATAATACTGGATTCAAGGGATTATGCAAATCTTATTTTACAAGAGTTTCATTTGTTCAAATTAGGAACTTTGTTAACTGTCTTTTACTGCACAAATAAGTTATATGTTTGGTCTGTTTACAGGGTACTTTAGAGAAACAATGTAATTGTCTAATGTAATCTTCTGTCATCTGAATAGTTAATTTATTTGTAATTTGCTTTTTAATTAAAAAACATGCTTCCTGTTTTGAAGAACAGCAATAATTACTGAGTTAAGCTGCATACTCACAGCAGTGTCTGCAAGGCCTAATAATATTCTCGTCATATGTGCACTATATAAAGGGGTGAATGGTATTGCACTAATTCAGTCAGAATAGTACTGAATCCAAGTGACCCATGGTCCTGGTGCAATTTCAACTGTAATTTTTATCCAACTCTAATACTTTCGTAGACCTACCAGTCCAAAATAATTTAAGACTTATTAGACTGTTAGGTATTTTATTGCATCATCATCATCAATAAACTTCCTAAAAAATGTGGGATTTTTACGAAACTCACAAATCTTCCCTTCAAAGATCTCGAAGCATTATACAAATCAGTGAATTTGTCCTCAGGAATCAGCCCTGGATGTAATATTGCTCTAGATCAGAACCTCTGCCGGTTCTGTGCTAAGGGCAGAGCTCCTGGACAAGAAGCAGCTTCTGTTTCACTTGCTGCCATCACTGGATCCCCTCCCCAGACAGGATCAGTTAGACAGAGAAATGCTCTCTGGCAGAGGCCTCTATTTTCGTCATACAGCTTAAGAGGAAGAACTACCTAGACCATATCTGGGTGTCGGGGCTGAGTGATGTGCTGAAAGCAGCCACAGATTCCTGTGTGAGATGGAATTAGAATCTCCAGGTTATGGAACTTTGTTTCCACTGCTAAAATTAAATGTTGTCCAAAGGAAAAGAGAAAGTTAAATGCAGCAGCATCCCCTTCCCTGTTCTCAAAATGTAATAGGGCTGCTAGGTTGCTAGCAGGAGAGGTTTTCTGTGTCACAGGCCTGTGAGAGCTGCCCTTACGTTATGGGCCCTTCTCCTGCTGTTAGTCCAGAGGCTATCACAGAAGAAGCCCTGCACTTTGTCTCCCCAGAGCCTTTTGCAGCTGGAACAGATCAGTATAATGCTTTTCCTGTGCTTTGGGCTGGGGCCCCAACCAGCAGTTGGAGGTTCATGAAGAGCCTAATCTTCTTGCTGTGCAAGCAGAGTCAGATGTGATCCTCTGGCCCACTGCTTGGAATGGTCTTTGTGCTTCCCAGTGTGAAGCAGCAGAGAAATGCCTGTGAAAGAGACTTGGGAACAACCAGCGGGGAGGATTTCCTGAGATGTTGCCTGTATGCAGGCGCCAAGGTCACCTCACAGCCCAGACCGTGGAGTTTTCTTGTTTTTAAATGCTTTGGTTTGGGGGATTTATTGACCACACCTGATTTGGGGAATAACCTTCATATTTGGACTTGTAACTGCATACCGTCCGTGTTCCATCATTCAGGATGAGGGGTTGAATTAATAAAAAAAAGCCACTTTTAGAGTCAATTACTCCCAGATGGTGGGAGCACAGTGAGGAGAGATTAACTCCTCCTGGAGGCAATGCTGCAGAGCCTCACCACTCATTTATCTGCTGGGGCCACTCTCTCGTGCAATAAAGCATCCTAGCCCACATAATAACTGACAGCCTGGTCCTCAGCTCCTCCCAGCCTTCTCAGGGGGTCTGTCCTTGCCTCTGCTGCCAGATTTACCTGTCATGTCTCAGGACAAGCCAGTAAGTTTGACTGAATTCGTAGCTGTCCAGCATCTGCGTACCTGGTTCCCTGGTGCTCTCAGTTCTAGGAGCACAGCTCAGGGAAACTGCTAGCCCAGCCCAGAAAGCAAAGTATCTTAGTCCTTGCGCCATGCTACAGAAAAAGAGCCACTGTCCCTTCACATTAGTGCTAGCAGAGGAGGAAAAACAGCTGTGTTTAAACTGAGCTAGTATTATTGGCTCTTACAGTCCTCAGACTGATAATTTGACTATGCAAAAATTGCAGGTTGAATGAACATGAATGTCTCCTGTGGCCATTTTCAACATGCTGAGTTTTTCTTTTCTAGACATGCTGCACTCTCCAGCATTCTTCAACCACCCAAACAAATGGCTTTCTTATGCATTCCATGATGAACTTTTTGAAAAAGTAGTCTATAATATAAAATCAAAACTATTCACGTTCTATCCATATCCAGAAAGGAAATATTTTTTACATATTCTTTAGCATGTGCCTACAATATCATTTTTCCCCAGGTTTCTCTAATTAAAGCACCTGCTATTTACAAAGCAATAATAAGATAAAGTAGATGCAGTTATTTTCTCCAGGAACTATCAGCCATCTAAATACCAAAATGAGGTCATAAAGCTGCTTTTTTTCAGTTTGGATAGCAAAAAATAGGGTGTTTGGACCAGGATATGCTGAGCTGCCCCAGTAAGGATACTGCGTAAGGACAGGATCGCTTCTTGTCCCACCCACGAAGAGAGGCAGGGAGCCTCAAGTATTTGGGCTCCACAGGGACACTGTCACTCCTTCTTCCAGCAAAATCCATATTCACTTGACCTGCTGTTCCAGCAGTTATTTTCCCTCTCGTAAACAGGAGGCACCATTGGACAAGCCCAGAGGGTTTTATTCTGTTTCTGTGGAAACTATATAGAAAACCAATGAGCCACTAATGAGATGTTATATATGCTCTGGGGGTCAAGAAATGCCCAACACTCAGATATAGTGCTGACTCTGTTTATCTTTTGGATAGTTACCTTGTTTTTGGAGTTTTGGAAGCGAAGGCAGGCAGAACTGGAGTACGAATGGGACACGGTTGAGTACTTAGAACAGGAAGAACAAATTCGGCCCGAATATGAAGCACAGTGCACACATGTAGTAATGAATGAAATCACACAGGTAAGGAATGTTATATAAAGTGATCCTAGCTACTGTAATAGAGATCTTTTGAAAAGGCACTATGAAGATATGCTGAGTCTGGAGCTGTTTAAGTCAACAGTGCTTCAAAAACAGCTGATAAGCTGCCCTGAAAATATTGAACTCTTTTGTGATTCCTTCAGACTCATCTGGCATAAATGAGCTGAAGCTGGCATTGTAGCTGACTTAGACTATCTCTACCTTACTAAATCCTCCAAGAAGATATTCCATGTTAATTCCAGAGGTCAGGATCTCAGAGCATGTACTATTGTTGCCTGAAGTGTGCATGAGAAGAGGAAAAGGTGAAATTGAGAAAAAGATGTTACATTATACATAATGCTGAGATTTCTTTTTTTAGCCAAGGGTGGTTCTGTTTGGAAGACGTGTAAATAGGCATTGTTGCCACGTACACGTGGATAAAATTACGATTAATGACAACAAACTCAGAGGGACAAAGATAATCCTTTTTTCAGTGAAATACGATCTTAGTTTAAATTTCTCTTTATTATATATTTTTGAGTAGCTTTTGCTTCTGTGGCTCACTCCATCTCAGCTTCACTTTTTTATTATTCTACGTTAATATATCACTAGCATTTATCTGATCATTTGCATTGCATCCGTATTCCATCTATTGATACTAATGTTTATCAGAGAGCACTTGAAAAGTTTCAGAATTAACTGGAATAGCAGAAACTATCACTTACCTTGTACCTGCTTCTTTTTAAAAGCTTATGAAGCTGTGCTACCTTTCATATATAAAGTTGTAGATAAAACATTCCTTTGAGACTGTTCAAATACTGAAGAATATGCTAAAATGAACTGGCTTTTCTCTCCAGAGATCCTCTATATATGCAGTGATGTTTGACAACACCATACTGAGGCTGGCACCTTTCCTGGCAGATTTGTCCTGTTGTCACAAAGGGATAAACTGAATAATGCCAAAAATTTTAATGCCTGCTAACCTTAGCTGACAAGGTTTGAAAGCTAAGGACCTTGGACTCCACAGTTAGCCAAGAAGGAGGGCTTTGTTCAGAAGGACCCTATTATAGTTGAAGTCAGTAAGGGATGAGAACACTCAGCCTCTCTGGAAGTCATATTTATCTTAGAACAGGCCCCAAAAATGGCACCTTGGAAGAGGGAAGACTTTTTTAGAAATCTTGGATTGATATGAATTTTAAGATGGCAAAGCAGGAAAGGAAACAGAGCTAGAGAGTTGTTCTCAGTCTCATAAAGTGTTACTTGGAGCACACAAAAAAAAAGAAAAAATGCTTGAAAGCAGACTTAATCTCTCTGTAAATCTTTTGCAGCAAGAAGAGCATGTGCCATACACCGCCTGTGGAAAATGCATTCGTATGACTTTCTGTACAAGTGCAGTCTTTTTCTGGGTAAAGTTCTCCACTTATTCTTTCACCTCATTAATTCAGTTCTTTAGTAGATGCCTTAAAAAAAAAGAAAAAAAAAGAAAAACAGCTCCTCCTGAACTTTACTGAAGATAACAAAGGAGTAGACTCAGCTGGTTTTCAAGCTGCTGCTTAATCCAAGCCCATAAAGTAGGAACCTGCATAGACATGGTAGTCATAGTCACCAGACATTCATTAGGATATACAAGCAGAAATGTAGTCAATAGGAAATATGTAGCAAAATGTTTTGTAGCTGTAACTGGTGAGTGAGGCTTGAAAATGTGGTCCATTGATTTCTCCCTCATTATTTTAAAATAAATGCTCCTGCTTTTGGGGGGAATAGGGGACAGACCTGGTTTTATACTCTCTTTTCCCTGATGGTTTCTCTCCTACTTGTTCCAGCCATTTGATTCAGTAGCGTATCTCACACTATTGGTTGTCTCCCAGGTCTTTTGTTTGTTTGTTTCATTTAAAAGAGCAAAGCTGGGAGCTCTTTAATCTTCCTGCCGCTATTTTAATTACAATTAAAACTTGAAAAGTCCAGTCATCCATAAAACAATACATAACATGGTGAACAGGCCCAGAGATTTGAAAAGCTCCCATGTTTTACTATGTGGCATGTTCTCTAAGTCAAACAGGAGCTGGAAAAGAGCTCATCCTATATAAGAGGAGCCGACGACAGAAATGAGATGGAGCAGTGTCTGGCAGTCCAGGGCGGGTTGGAGTTAACACATCTGAAGCACATGAAAAAACCTGGCTCCTGCAGGATATAAATAAGCAGAACTTGAGCCTGAAGGGAAAACACTGGTCCTTGTTTTACTGTTTGTGTTACTGCACTCTCTTCCAGTGCAGAGACTGTGGAAGGTAGTGGATTCACAGCAGTTTGGAGATAGTAAGGGAAAAAAAAAACAGAAGAGAATCCTGGCCTTGAGGAATTTAACCTGAACAAGAGCTAGGCACTAGCTAGAAATAAAAGTGGAAACAGAAGCAGAGATGATGAGCAATATGAGATGCACGGAACTTGATTACAGCTCCTGCAGATCAAATGCTCATAGTCCATAATATTATCATGAGAAAGAAAAGATACTACCCTAGTCGTCACTGCAGACCTACATTTGCCATCCTGCCTAATAATGTCAGAGAGATTCCTTCCCCCCTCCTAGAAACATCATATGCCTTGAGGCATAGGACTTGATTATCCATCTCATTATCTTTGCTAAAGTAGCTGAAAACCTGGTTATTAATCATAAAACAGTTCATCTCTTTCCTACAGATTGACCATGCTGCACAAAAAAAAGTACTTTTTGGACTCCAAATTTTTGTCTACTGTCTTACTGGAGTATCCTCTTGCACTCATGTAATAGAATAGAAGACACATAATTTGTTTGCTTTTGCTTGTTTTGAAATGTGTTTCAAACTTACTGGCTTTCCCAGAGCCAGTGGCTCATCTTCAACACATTTCTTATATTCTCTTGGCAGATTGTTTTGATTATCGCTTCAGTTATTGGAGTCATTGTCTACAGACTTTCAGTTTTCCTGGTGTTTTCTGCAACGTTGCCACAACACGTTAATGGAACACTAGCAATCCGCAAGTACCTGACTCCACAAACAGCTACTTCAGTAACTGCTTCAATCATAAGCTTTTTAGTCATTATGATTCTGAACATCGTCTATGAGAAAGTGGCAATCATGATTACTGACTTTGGTATGCCTTTTTGTGCCTCGGATAGAAATCTAAAATAATAAGAAACAATAGCACTTGGAAGTATTAATAACTCCAATAAATGAATACCCATACCACATACTTAAGAATTTTCCCACTAAGTTACACGATGCCATCTAGAATTTTTCAAATACAGATTTTCTCAGTGTCAAAGAAATATGGTATTCAGCATTTTACCCCAAAACTCTTTCTATAGGAAACATGAAAGATCAATTGTGTAATTTTATGCTTGTGAAGCAAGCGAAGAGAATTACTGTAATAACCAAGCTTTATGATCAGTAATGCATAACACATTCAATTACATTAGCTTTTGTTTATGAGTAGAATAACTATTTTCTTGTAAATAAATGAAATAAGATCATTGTTCCAAAACTAGATACTATCCTCTTGTTATTGAATAGATAAAACAGTCACAAATATTATTATTCTTTATATCCAGACCATCAGCAATAAAGTAGCTGTTTCACTTCAGATGTGTAAAGTAGTGTGATGTTTTAATATTGTTTCATTTTCATCAATTTCAAGTGTTACATTTTCTTCTTTCCAGAGTGTGCTGAATTTGGGACTTTTTTTTTCCTGGATTATCAGAATTTCTGCTTGTTCTTTTTCTTTAGTGTCAAAGAACCAATTCATTCCTATAACCCAAATAATTTTAGGATTATCATAATGGCTACAGTATATATAGAGATTATCTACAATCTAATTTATAATGCTTGCAATCGTATTAAGGAGTACAAGGCATACACATAACTTTTCTGACCGAGGGTCAGAAGACCTACTTGTAAGTTGGAGGTTTATTTTATTTTTCCTTTTTTTTTATGGCTACAGAGCTTCCGAGGACACAGACCGATTATGAAAACAGTCTGACCACAAAGATGTTCTTATTCCAATTTGTCAACTACTATTCTTCATGCTTCTACATAGCTTTTTTTAAGGGTAAATTTGTAGGTTACCCTGGAAAACCAGTTTATTGGCTGGGAAAATATCGCAATGAGGAGGTAAGATTGCATCAAGGTGCTTGTTTGATAACACCAGTAGGCTGGGTCCAGGTCCATGTCTTCATCTGTAATTGCATGGGAATAGTACAAATCTATAACACAGTTGTATATATTTAATGTAAGGCTTCGAAAGGTTACTGCCTCCCAGGCCACATGCATAAAAGGGGTTTACACAAGTGCAGTTGGGCTAAGAATTGTGTTTAGAGGACCTAGACAATCTTACTTTCCTATGGTCCAGCCATCTGTGAATAGCGTTAAGAACAACGGGAGAACATCTTCAATATCAACTTTGGTCCTGCAAAGCCTCTGTGTTCTGCTGGATGTTCCTTGTGTGGTGATAGCACAGTACAAGCTGTGTGTCCTTGCCTTGTATTTCACTCCCAGTGGTGACCTGTCAGCTTGCATAGCAATAATGTATGGCCTAGAACTGGCTTTTGTATAAGTTTTGGAAAAGGTTTGCCTAAATAGTTTTCTTGTATTGCTTAAGTATATTGGTATCACAGTACAGCAGGAATTCATAATTTGAGATGCTTCAGGCATCCCTGCAAAGTTTCCCAACCTCCAGTTTTCATATCTCTCCCAACCTTTAGTGCGATCCAGGTGGATGTCTCCTTGAGCTCACAACTCAACTTGCCATCATCGTAGGAGGTAAAGCAATCTGGAATAACATTCAAGAAGTACTTCTTCCGTAAGTTCACTTTAGGAAGTTTTCTGCTTTTTCATATTTGAAGGGTCAGATGCTTCTTTTGCTTGATGCTTGCAGGTCATTAAATCTGATAGGAGCATGTTGCATTCCAAAACAATACGAATAGTCTTCCAGAGCCTTTTTGGACCATTTGGATATCTTCACTCTGAGCTTCTGTCCCTGTCATTTCACTGATTTTAGTTCTAAGCAGAAATGCTTCTGTTCTCTGCAAATCAGGCTCAATGTACTTCAGGCTGGATACTTAAACATGAGGCAATAAAAATATGAAAATGTTAAACTAAGTACTGTAACTTAATATTGAATTAAATGACTTGTTAAACATGTTTTTTTAAAACCATTTATGATTTACTTATTTAGCTCATTTAGTTTTATAATTATATTGATATTCATACTTCCTAAATATTAATTTTTAGTGATGCAGATCTCTGGAACATCATGTTTTAATGTAAACAATAAAAAAAAAAGATAATAAATATCCACCACATAACTTAGATGAAAATACTAGCCACTACTCTCTTCCTCCTATCAGAACTTGTTCTTTATTTTATGTTGCTCAGTGACAGGTTATCATTTGGAGTATACAAATGATAAGTGCTCAAATGCTAAGTATCACTTCCAGACCAAGCTCTTGGCTGATCTCCCATTCTGCATTTCTGAGGGACATTTCTCATCCTCAGCATTTTTGTTTTCATTTGAGTGTGATCCTTTGACTGCTGAAAATAACTACACTAACTTCATCACTCTTCTGAAATTCTCATCCAAGCCTTTCAGATCAGAAGAAAATAATGTTTCTAATCACAGACCTGTATCTGATTTGATTTTCTGGAACTTTATGCAGTCGTTCACCTGCACAACATGAATATAAATAAATGGCATTCTAATATGCTATTCTTTTACACTCTTGTCTGTGGTTAAAATAATTTCATTTAGGATAAAACAATGGAAAATTATATTCATGTATGTTTCTTAGTTACATTGCATTCATATAGCCACTATTCAAAACTATAATAGCACAAAAGCCAATTTTTTCCTAAACTTTTTTGGTTATTTTACTAATGTTTGTGGTCTTTTTCTCCCTGGCTGACAGTTGGGTTAAGAATCTAATCAGAAGATATTGTGCAGCTGCTAGATCAGAAAAAATTGTTCCACGCTGGGAGCACGATTATCACCTGCAGCCCATTGGAAAACTCGGATTGTTTTATGAATACCTTGAAATGGGTAAGCAGCAGTTTAGTTCCGCTTAGTCCAGAATCTGTGCTGGATATAAGTATATTTTAAAGAAAATGTTCATGCAAGCAATGCCTAATATGCCTAGAGACAGAAGAGATATGAATGTTTTCACAATCCAAGACAAGTTTGGAATCATTTGGAATATGTAAAATTAAATATCTGAGTTAAATTTCTGAGTCAAAATGATGAAAAATGTAACAAACAAATGTTTAAATACTCAGAAGAGTTCCTTTTGATGAGTTCTAGTTTTTAACATTTTCCTGTGTACTCTGTTTGGCTTCTTTTTTTCAGTCTTTTCATTCTCAGTACCTTTCAGTATCTTTCCAAATGTTACTGTATTATGCTGTTCATATGTCCTCACACTGTAAATGGTCTGAACACAAAATTTGCTAGGAATTTAACTTCCCTGTCACCCTTCTTATAGTTCAATGTCTGCTTTCTCATATATGCATATCTCCAGTAAGTTAAAGCCTCATCAGTGTATATAACCTCTCCCTTTGACAGTTATACAGTTCGGATTTGTCACTCTATTTGTGGCATCATTCCCTCTGGCTCCTCTACTGGCTCTTATTAACAATATGCTGGAAATCCGCCTGGATGCCTGGAAGATGACGACGCAGTTCAGACGCATGGTTCCGCAGAAAGCACAAGACATAGGAGCGTGGCAGCCCATCATGCAAGGAATAGCCATTCTGGCCGTGGTTACCAATGTAAGTGCTGTGCCTGAACAGGGAAGTGCCTTCACTGCAGGTATTGCCTCCAAACGTGCAGTTGCCATCTGTAGCAATGCATATCACGGCCAAGGGACTACAGGTGAGGCCCTTACACAGTCCTAAATAGATTAGGAGCTTAAGTCCCTTAAGACTGTAGCCCCTGTGAATTAGGCTGCCAGGCACTTTTTGGATGTTTTGGAAAGAGAACATAGTTACTGTTCAAAACATTACATGCAAATAAAAGCAATGCTGTTTAGTTGCTAGCATTTTCACAAAAAAAATCAAATGAAGATTAAAGAGCATCTTTCCTAAAATTATAGCACATAATTCTAATTGGAAAAAAAAAAGAAAGGCATTTTTGATAGTCTACAAGTAAATGCCTGAATTAAAAAAAAAGGAAGTTGTAATTAAGTCTTTTAAAATAATGGCTGTTACTAATTCTTACAGTTATTATGGTCATATCTTCTTAGTTAAGTTGGGCTTTAAGGTTTGCATTGAAGACAACAATTCAACTTCTTTCTTATGTATGTATATAAATACATATTAATACATATTAATAACATTGAGGTGTTAGAGCACCTGTCTTTTGAGAATAGAATGTTTCTTTCCGGAGAATTTTCAAATGATTCTATGATTTAGTTGGTGGTAAACTTAATTTTAAAATGTATTCTTTAAAATATTTAGAAAAGCTTTCTTTTCCTCATGAATATAATCTTATTAATGGCATTCAGACATTTAAAACTTCACATATAATTAAGTCACCAAAATCTTACACAGAGGCTCCATATTTTGGGAAGGGGGGTGGAAATAGTACTGTTGGACTTGGCCACTGTAAATTATTTGATCATTTATTCTTACGCAACATATAAGATATATATTATCTTGGAAAAATTTCTACTGCTACCCTTACCTGAGAGGTAGTGACTGCTGTTTCCTCTGCAGAAACAGTAACGCCTGCCTATACCTACCATGCCCATTTCGACATGCTTGCCATTTTTCACTGTTATCACTGAGTTTAGGAGTTTGTTTTGACATGGTAAAAAGTAGTCGCTTCCTCTAGCAGCTACTCCCTGCAGTAGCAGTACCATATTGCACTGGCTTAGGAGTTTCTGGTGAAAGCCATAGCGTGGGGGTCATCTTAACCTGAACCTTCACAGGAATCTGCCTGTTTTGAGAAGGATGGGCAGAAGAGTGACAGAATTGAGCATTCAACAGCAGTGGGTAACCTGCTAGCTAGGAGAGCCACTCAAAGTAAAAGAGCAGTTCAGATTCAAAGCAGGACATGAACTTACCTTCCTGTATCTCAGGTGCCTTCTGTAGTCACTAGGCACGTGGTCTGAACCAAAGGGCTTCTGCTATTTGTGTGTAATGAAATAGATACATTTACTTTTGTCTTTTTTTTTCCCACAGCCAGATGAATTTTCTTGCATATCACTCTCTCTTTTGTTTTCCAATCTGAAAAATCTTTTGTTTTGCCCTTTGAAGGGTGAAGATACTTTCAAAGAGGAGAGTGATGAGACTGCATGACCTGGTGGCCTGTGGAGCTGGCGTCTTCCCAGTAGCTTTGTTTCTTTAGTGTTAAGGTTGAACTAGTGACCATGGTGAAAAGAGTTCAGAATAGATTTCATTGAAGAGGAAGATTTTTTTATGGTAGTCTCTGCTATCAGATATGTTTTCAGCCTCCCAAAATGGCCATTATTCCCTTTTAGAACTCTATTTTACCCTATATCTGTTTGATAGGTTCTGTAAACATGGATAGCCTGTAGAGAGGGGATTTAGGGGATTTGTAAGGCAGAGAAGGAAGCAGAGGGAGAAGTGTCAGAAGGAAAAAAGGAACCTCAGGATGGAAAATTTACAAGACAATCTAGGAGGCAGACAACAAACTAGAGCGTGCAGAGCTCTAGCTGTTCTGCACTGCTCTGCTGAGGCACATCAGTCATAAATCCAACTGTTCCACTGGCACGTGAAACACTAGTACATTTGGCATTAAACTTTAAAATAAAACATGTTCAGATTGTAATAAATATCAGATGATGACAGACAAACTCTTTGGGTTTTTTGTTTTACTGCTTGTATAAAAAATTGTTGATGATAATTCTCCCTGCAAATTAGAGAGAAAGAGCAAACTCCTATTTGAAACATAGCTGTCATTGGAAGCAGCATTCTGAGTGCATCAGGAGCTTCATTTGAACTGTGCTGCTCCAAAACTTATACAGCAAAATGAAATAAAAAATCCATTCCCCTAGATGGAAAGGAAGTGCATCGTGCTGTTGGATAAACAATCTCAATCAATCCAACCAACTCTTGTAATACTGCTATGAAATGAAAAATCAGATATGCTTCTAAGGATTATTTTTAGATATTGTTAAGAAGACCTTTATCATGTTCTTGGTAACATCCATGGCAGAGTTGAAGTTGCTTTGGTAGCCTAAAGGTGACTCTGACATGACTCTGACTTCTCTGTTAGGAAGATATTTGTGTCCCTGTTCAGGATTCTGCAGAAAAACATGATCCAGCAGTAGTTTCAGGTATCTGTCCCTCTCCATGGACAGGCCAGCTGGGACTAATGGGAGATTTACAACTTTAAGAGGCCTAACTGACTCCAAATTCATATTCCACCTTACATCATTAGATACTTTCAACGCTGAAGTGGTATCTCTGAACCCATGGAGTTTATTTTATGTCTTGGTTTTAGTCTCTCCTTGTCCTCCCTGACAAGAAGTCCATCCCCACGTTTGCAGGACTGGTAGGACACAGCAGGTTTCTTCTAGTATAGCCCTTTTGGGAGCTCCCACGTGCAAATCACAGTTAACTGTGGTATAAATAGTGGTAGTGCATTTGCCACTGACATCAGTGAGGGTATTAGCAGACAGGGGTTCAGGGAAAGCCATGTTTCCTCCCTAACCTTTAGGTATGTTTTTTTCTTGTTTGGCATCCAGGATCTAATACAGCCAGTCTTTGTTTTACCAGCCCTGCCTTCGACTTGATTGATTTTTTCTCACTACACAGAAACCGTGTCTGTTGTTCTCTATGTAACTGTCACAGATTAGATTTATAAACTGTACCCTCTTCCCCTTCATGTGTTGCCTCTGCAAGACCTGCTAGGCTGCTACTAACTGTTCCACAAAGACTTGCTGCTCAGCCACTGGACCTGCTAGTGCCTGATGCCAGAGCATCTGCTGCTGATTTGAAGACTTATTTTAATTTGTTACAGTATAAATGGAAAACTGTGCTAAGCATAGGTTGGGAAGGAGAGAATGCTCATTTGTTTGTACTTCTCCAGAGCAATATTCTGAAGTGGAGCCCACAATTCAGGAGGAAAAAAAAGCTTTTCCTTTGAGAGGATGCTGCAGAATTAGTTTTCATAATTCTGCCCTTGTAGCTCTCTGGAGCACATCTGGAGACCATTCCAAGAGAGGAGAGGAGTCAAAACTCAGATTTAAGATTATGAGAGACCTGGGGCTTCCAAAAATTCAGTAAGAACAACAATTAAATACCATATTCCAGCATCTTTTTTTTTTTTAAACAATACATAAAAAAAAGCTCTTTTGGTCTGAAGGGAGAGGGTGGTGAGGGGTTTTTGTTTGTTTTTCCTTACCTTTTCTTTCCTTCGTTTAGTTGCTGCTAGTTCATTTGTGGTCTACTTGGATGCAAACCTTATAGGCTAGTGACCATTAGGAAATTATGTTTAACTAAAATGTCTTGCTTATTTTTAATGATGTTTTTTAATTTACTTTAATTAAAAAATTTGGTAGAGCAATTTAGATGTGACATATTTCCCTGTAACTGCAAGACATAGTAATATCATATATTCCTAGTCAGCCAAAACAATCTGCTCTACTTGTAAATATAAGCAATACAGACATTTGAATTTATTGCACACCAGTGTTATAGGCTTAAAATCAATTTTTAAAAGTGCATGCCACCTACATTCGATTTAAGCTAGAGTACACGACAAAAAAAGGTCTTTGGCGTACATATCCTTGTCAATTTTAAGCAAGTTTATTGCAGTTTTCGGCTGCCTCCCTTTTCTTTCTCACCAGCCAAATTAATATTCTCTTAATTAAAATAATACCTAACAATCTTCTGGGGAGCCAGATGAGGATTTTGGACCACGGTCTCGTGCTTAAGCAATATTGCTGCAGCTTTTGGTTTAACGCTAGCTACAGTTTTGTTTGTCCGGTGCTCCGCAGAAAGGCAGCGTGAAAGGTAGGACAGCAGCTAGAGCAGCGCTGGACAGCTGGGAGCAGCGGGGCTGCCCCTGAGGCCGGGCAGCTCCCGCCTCTTGGAACCAGATCCAGGAGGGGATTCGGCCGGGTCAGGGCCATGACCTGATCCCCGCGCGGCTGCAGGAGCCCGCGGCCCCGAGCGACCTGCCGGGCTGGGGCCGAGGCGCTTCAGGCTGGCGCGGCCGCCGCCGTGGCCGTCGGGGAGCAGCACGGAGGCCCGGCAGAGACTCCCCCTTTATCCTCTCGCCCCTCTCCGTATTTGCACACATTAAAGATGCCTCTTCAGGCTGGGCTCTCCTGCTGCAAAGGCTGCACTAAATTGGACGGTTTTTGCTTCAGCCCATGAAATTAATGTAGCCTGCAGCAATTGCAGACTGGCATGAATAAGAATAAAATACCGATATTCACTAGCTCTTAAGCTTTTATAATTCCCATTACTGATTCCTAACTTTGCTTCTCCCTCTGTCCCGCGTCTTCCCTGTGGCATTTTTTGCCCCTTTTATTTATCTCTCCTCTGTCCCTCTGATCCCATTAGCTCCGTACCTCACATGCAATTAAATTTCTCTGCATTGGTTCTTTCCAATATGATTTTGAAGAGGGTTTTTTTTTCCTCATAGGACAAGAAGTGACTTTTGTAGCTTTGGCACACAAATAATCACCATATCCTTGGTGCTACAGAGGCCTGTAGGGCTGAATTGTCTGGGCAACCTCTTGCTGAGCACTGCATTACAGGTTTTGCCAGTGGAAACCTTTCCCCACAGGAACATCTTCTGAATATGCAATAGCAAAGGAGGATTTGGGATTAAACGTAATTAGCCTGTCTTCCAGAATAGGATGCTTTGGGCAGTTCATGAGTTTAAAAAGACTTCTCACAGTAAACATACAGACCTGATTTCCTACCTAGCTTGTAACAAGCAGACTGAGTAGGACAGTGACTCTTAGGAGCAAGATAACAACAAGTGGCCATGTCATATGTTAAACAGCACTATGCAGCTGCTGCTGAGATAGAAGAATTTTCTTGGCATCAAGAGCAGTTTCCACATGTCCTGACGTAGAAACTTATGAGAGAGCAGCTGCCAAGATGCATTTGGACTGGCTGCCACCTCCGGATAGGTGGGATGTTTCTAGGATCAGAGATGAATCAGCTATATATAATTTACCTTATTGTTTTACTCAAGCTTCAGAATTCTGAGTGCAATTTATTTTACTCTTCCTAGAGGACTCTTTTGTCCTTTTCCATAGGATTCAGCAGGCAGGGCTTTCCTGTGCAGACCACAAGTACATCTGATAGCCAGCGTGCTTGCTGAAGGTTGCCCTACAGTGGCGTAAGTTGAGTTTGCTGACCTGCACAGCATGTTTGTGCGGAAGAAAGCCTAGCAGGGCGCAGCTTTGTAAAGGCTGGCAGCCGAGCTCCTGTAATCTTAAAACTCTGCAGAGTGCACATTCCACAACGAGATTGTTTTAGGCCTGCGAGTGACTGCAGGCTCGTTTACAGAGGGAATCTCTGCTAGAAAAGCATGTATTTTCTGTTTTACCTCCACATGGGAAATTTTGAAATATTAACTGTATGGAAAAGTTTTGCATATTAAGGATTATTTCTTAAATGCTACCCTGCTTTTATCTTTTTTCTTTTTTTTTCTGAAATGCAGGCCATGATAATTGCGTTTACATCTGACATGATTCCTCGTCTGGTTTATTACTGGTCCTTTTCAGTCCCTCCTTATGGGAATCACATCACTTACACTATGAAAGGCTATATAAACAATACGCTCTCTGTCTTCAATGTCTCAGACTTCAAGAATGAAAGCAAGCCGTTTCCCCCTTGGCTTGGGAACCAAACAACATGCAGGCAAGTGTCAAGTAATCTTTCATTTCCAATGACGAGAGCACTAATGCCAGTACTGTCTAAATAGCCTAATTCTCTGAAAATGTCTAGTAGGAAATGTTAGAACAGAATAAAAGACAGTGTAATTTGAATGGCAGAATTGAGTAGCAGACCTTACTCATAAATCTGTTAGTCAGAAAATATTTACTTCATTTTGTTTTCCCCATAATTGATACAGTCTTTTAAAAAATACTTAAAAGTGATTTAAGCCACTCTTAACAGTGGCAATAAAAGACATTTCAGTCAAATGTAGCTCACTGCAGATAGAAAGTTTCCCCATCTGTGTAGTTCCATGCAGCTAGCTGTGTCATGCAGGATGCAATAAGTAGGGACATGTCTTGCTCCATCCTCTGGCCATAGTGCAGCACTGCAGAGCTTCCCAAAAGCTGTTTCTCACTTTCTGCCTTGCCTTCAGGTACCGTGATTTCCGCTACCCTCCTGGTCACCAGCATCAGTATGAGCATAACATATATTACTGGCATGTCCTTGCAGCCAAGCTGGCGTTCATCATTGTCATGGAGGTAAGTGTATGGAGCTGCCAGCTTTAGTTAGGGAGTTTCCTCTCCACTTCATTTGGAAATTCCTTCAAAGACTTTCTGTCCGGGCAGACCTCTGAGAGCTTTTAGTTAGCAATGTTTGCAACTTCTTTGCTCAAGAATTTTAAGATGATTTTAAGTGTAAGATACAGAGTCATACCAAAAATGTTTACATATTCTTAGAGGAAGTTTGTGCACATTCTCATGAATACACATGCATAATACACGTACACTGACAGACTGAACTGTGTCAAGGCAGTTGCTGAGAGAGAGGAGTCTATAGATGAGCCTCTGTGGTTAAAAAGCAATTGCTGCTTTTAGTGCAGCTCGAGTTGGGGCTTATAGAAAGATGGGAGTCAGTCCAAGGTCAAGGGAGAGGAATACTAGGTAAATACTGAATTATAAATATATTTAGGGCCTAATCTGGGGGATACCAAAATTATCAGAAACACCTTATCTTTTAGAGCAGATTGGAAAACATTTGTAGTCCCACAGTCATTTGAACAAACCTGAAAATATTTTAAAAGAAACTGTAGAAGTGTATTTTGACAATATGAGGGAAAAAGAAGGCACAGAGTACTAGGTTTTTCCTCAAAGTAAGCAGAGAAATCAGGGTTAAAATCAGGATTAGAAAATTAGAAATTCTTACATATTCGTCTGTTCTTGTGATTATTGCATTCATTAGTCATTACTGCTTTTTAAAATACAATTTCACTATCATTATTTGATACTGATACTCCGAGTCTTGAGAGATAATGTGACATTTCATCAATAATAATAATATTAATAATAATAATAATTCAGGCTGACTGACCTTTTTTCATTTTCTCCTTCCCCAGCATGTCATATACTTTGTGAAGTTTATTATTTCATACGCAATACCGGATGTATCACAGAAGACCAAGAGCAAAGTTAAACGAGAGAAATACCTAACACAGAAACTCTTGCATGAAAATGACGTCAAAGTTGTGAAGAAAACCATGGGGAAAATAGCTGACAAAATTTTCAAAGGAGTAGATGGTCCTTTCCGACCTAAAAATGAATAAGTACTTTTTTATATGAAATAACAATACTTACTCAGCTTATGCCTATCCATACATTACCAACAGCTAATCAAGAACTTTGGATTAACTCCCTCTGCTAAATACTGTTTCTTGCAACTGTCTCCTGCACATTTCCATGTTTCCCATAGGCAAAAAAACCACTGAGACTTGGTGAAGAATTATCACTTTTTAAAACAGCTTTAGTAGGTCATACTTTTCTAACCTGTGATGATAGATATTATTTATTATCTTAAGATTATGCACATTAATTCTGAAATGCATAGAGTGCTTTGCACTTTCTTTAGGCCTCAGCTATTTGATCTGTTGTAGAACTTGACTAAAGCTCGAAGAACCAGGATTGTTTTCTGTAAGACTAACATCACTTCCTGTGAAAGAGTTTTGATTGCCTGATAAAGCAAACGCCAAAAATATGAAACAAAGAGGAAAAAACAAGCTATGAAGGAGAGAGAGGAAAACACAACTCAAAATCCTGTTTCGAAGCAATTGCAATTGATATACTGAGCACTGTTCTGTGCTGCACTGAGGAGTTATGCAGACTGGAATGGATAATAAGGTATTTCGGATAATCATGGGCTTGGATCCCAAGAAGCAGCAAGAGCGGAAGCCCATCCTGTTCATCAATCTCTACGCAAACAGGAGAATTGCCTTTGAAATCAATGCATACAAACTGACTTAGAGCACTCTGAGCGAGCAGAAAATCAGGTATTTTGTCTTTCCCTAGTCAATGAACTTTCATTAGTTCCCTTGGCCTTGTAACCTCGAAGGTCTCTACCCTTTAGTAGTGGTAAGTGATAAAAGTCTTTCCATGTACTCGATCAATATTTGCAGAGGGCTCTCTTGCATTTCCCCCACGCCAGGGGCACCGTTCACTTCCCAGGTGGATTTCAACATGCAAAGAACAGATGTGCAGCTGACCCTGCCATGGTGCAATATTGTACGATGAGTCCAAGTTGGACATGGCCGTGGATCTACTGAAACTTCAGACCGGAATAAACAACATGCCTTAACTGAGCATCAAACTTTATGAAACTTGAAATAACAAGGAGGATGTTAGATATATGGATAAAATCCTCAAATTCGGCTGTGTATCTCCTTGGTGATTTTGTGCCTTGCGGATTAAGCCTGAATGTAGAGCTCCACTTTGAGTCTACATCAGCACCTTTCCAGATTATTAACTGCTTTGTGTTTTAATGGTTATAAGGGACCAATTGCTACAGATCTTGAAAACAAAATCATGTTAAAAAAAGTAAAATGGTGTCTGCATTCTGTAAACCTGGGAATTACTGATGGGTTTGTAGTTTTGTACTCCCAAAATTGATTAATATACAGAATTCTTAGGCAGATTATTTATGGAGCTCCTTCCTTATTTTGAAGTTTGCAGAAACTTAAGTAGCACCAATATCATGTACTTTATTCCAGCAAGATAGTCTGTCACTATAAATGGTTGTCAGCCAGAACGGGGCTGGCACCAGCACTTCTTTTTCACAGGAAATTTTACTCTCTGCCACTTGTTTTATTTTCCGGTCAGAATCATAACAAGTCTTTAAAATTCCCAAGACGGAAATGTAAATTTGCAGACAAATCCTCCTAGGTTTCTAAAAAGGACATAGGTTTTAAAAAGCAAGCTTATCAAGATGTATCACCCCAGTACTGATTTGACCTTTTCAGAACAAAACACCAAACTTCCTTTAAAAATGTTTTTTTTTTTCCAGGGAAGCACCTCATGGAACAATTCTAGTTAGGTAGTTAGGATTTTTTGTGCTGAGTGAGTCCTGCTAGAAAGTCCCATGAGCTCCATGTAAACCTGGAGCTTTGGATTTGAGCTTTGTGCTGGCACATTCAGCTGAGGGCCTTGGTTTTCCTACCAGTGATCACAGTGCCAAGTGCCTTAGGGATGCACACATCCCTTCAGGTGCAGTGCTGAAGGGCTGGGGCGGGCAAGGAGGGATGGAGTGATATAGTCCAAAAAAACCCCGAAGCAACGACAGAAGGGAATGGACCATCTCAAGTAAATCTTTGGTCTTAAAGAAACACTCATTGCCCTCTTTGACACGTAAAGAGTCTGGGAAACAAAGGAATTAAGTGCCTTGCTTGGGGTGGTGCTGGGAACAGCAGCAGAGCTCTAGATGGATTTTCAGCAGTGCCTGGTTTCTGCACCTTGTGGGTTCCTGCAGCCTCTCGGTGCCTCTTCCTACACCAGTGAGCAGCAAGTTCTGAAGAGGGTGTTGGTCATTGGTAATAGATATTTTTAAATATCTATTTTTTATTTTTATCTTTATCTTTAAAATAATGTTAGAAAAAAAAAAATCTTGCTACATCACCAAAGCATGACTGTCTATGGACTGAGGTTCTCCTGTAATAAATCCCAGTCACCCTTATGTGTGTGTCTACATTAGCATTGTTGGTCAGATCAGAAAGGTGTTTTTGAAGCTCATCTTCCACTTGTGTCTTCTGCTGGCCCGTGGCTCTCAGGGCACAGGGACGTGTTCCTTTCAGCTGAAACTAACCCAGAAGACACAGGTTGGACGTGCACATAATTGTGTCCGAGGGCTAAAGCAGAGCTAGTCTGAAGGGAGCAGTGAGCACTGGTGGGCAGCATCCTCTTCACCTCAGCTCCCTGCGCTACAGGTTTGATCCTGATGTGCCTTGCTGCTCGCTAAGGCAGCCGTAACCTTCAATTCCAGAAAGTGTTATTTCCCAGAGCACAGTTCCGAGCGAGGGAGCAAGGAGGAAAACGGCCCGCGTGCCAACGGCTGCAGGTTGGTCCCGTAAGCCGTGCAGTTGAGGCGGGCTCTGCCTCCAGCTGCGCGATGAGGAGCACTGCTGTGGAGCACGAGCCCTCCTCAGCTCCCTCAGGATAAAGGCGTCCGGCAGAGTGTTTGCAACCTTTCTGGCCCCTGCAAGGACATTGCAAGATCTACCTGAGGGGAAAATCAGCATTTGTTTAGAACTGTGAATCCGTTTTTACACATTTTAGACTCCGTGTGGGCCAAAGAGGGCCGCGTGTTTGTGCGTCGAGGTGAGGCTGGATCCGGCTGCTGCCTGTTCCGCTGCCGCGGGGCCGGGTGAGCGCCGCGCACATCGCAGCGCCCTGCCACCCATCCCGTGTACCCCGACCAAATCAGAGGGCAGGAATGCACAGTTCCTATTTTCTGCCAGGAGTGTTTGCCCTTAGTTTCTAAATACTAAGGGGTTTTTTATATTTATTTTTATAGTCATTAAATAAAGTTTATTTTAAAATAATACATTTGATGTTGATTAGCATTGTTGGTATTTAAATGAAGGATACTGCTGCCAAATGACACATGTAAATTCTTATAAGTACTATCTAATTTCTATATTTCTCTTTTTCACTTTTTTAACATTAAAATCTGTTATTGCTACTCAAATTTATCTGCTCTTCTGATTTTTTTTTTGCATCCTCTAGATGGAAGTCATTGCTTTCAACACCAAGTCAATGACAAAGAAAGGAAAGACCATTGCATTCAAATAAACCGTTTAGATTTTTATATCCTTCCACTCCTGCCGTGATAAGGCCTGAGGGTCATGATTTATTTCTTCATCTGGATCCAGCCTGGGAGATGCCCCCAGCTCCCAGGTTTGGGTCCTTCCCAAGGAAGGCGGCCCGGGCAGCAGGTGCCCTTGGGCACCGTGTCCTCCTCCAGGGAGGGCAGGGGCTGCTGTCAGGGTGTCACTACATCTACATCGATGGGCGAATCCCACCCCATTTGTCTCTCTCTGTCCTGTCCTATCAACCACCCATCCATCCATCCATCCATCCATCTGTTCTCTTCCACTTCTACTCTGACTCCTCCTCTCCACTTTGAGGAATTCCCTTCCCAAGACTTAGAAAACAGAGAGCATTGAAAGCCATTTAAACAGAGGCCCTCCTTGTGTCTGCTTCAATCCCCTGGGATTCCCAAGATTTGCTTTCAGTGTAACTCTGTGGTAGTTCCACCAGCAGAGAGATGTCACCGCTTGCCCGGCACTGACTTAGGTCTATGTGTCCTGTAAGTGCCCGTGTCCGGTGGGTGCTGCTGCTGGTGCAGAGACGCTCCCCGCTGCGGCTCCTCGCGCTGGTTTGGCTTCAGCTGCAGTGGGAATAACTGCGGCTTCGGGATGAGCGTGGGGGTGGTTTTCCCGCGAGGAGGAGGGCATGGGGCTGTCACAGGCCGTGCCTGTGTGAAGAACAGTGTGGTTTTAATGCCCTAAGGACTGGTATCTTTAAAAACCTCAATTTTAAATATTTTACTAGTTAAAACCTATCAGTTTTTAATATTTTATTAATTGATACATATATAACCAAGGTAGCATATTACTTGTTTCCTATTTATTTTTACCTCTTTCTGCCCAAGTGGAAGATTCGCTCTGCTTTTGGACAAGCAGCCCTTACCAGATCAAAGCAAGTGACTCCCTGTTACCCCTTTTAACACCCTGCCCCTCGGCCTGTGCGTCCCAGGAGAGCTCAGCAGAGGTGTCCCCAAGCCAGGCTCACAGGAGCCTGGCCTTTTCTCTGCCATGCCCACCCATTGTTCCCTACTGTAGCAGGGAAGATAAGCTGGCATTTCCTGTGCGGGGAAGCAGGGCTGGTGCCTGCAAGCTTTATTTGTGTTTGCATTTGTATGGCTCTCCACCACGGATAAGGAACAGTACACAAAGCCTTGAAAAGACGAGTATGCCGTCAGGCCCAGATAAGCTTAACTTCCACATGCTTGGGGGCAATATTTGCCTCATAACAAAACAATATATCTTAATAGCCTAGTAACAGCACTGCATTCTTTCCAGGAAAGTTGAAGAAATAGGATTTTATTTACAAGCTGGAAGTACATCAAAACAAGAACCTTTTAAAATTTTATTTTCTGCAATATTTATTACATTCTCTGACACAATTATCCTTTAAGAGTGATGCTAATCTCTTGTATTAACATTAAATTTTATCAGTCAGCAATGATGCAAAGAAATTAGAACACTCCTCTTGCTTTTTGAATCTATTCATTAATTTTCTAATCGGTCCAAGCAGTTCTAGCGCTGGAATTGTGCAGGTTGCACAAGTGTATGAGTGAGCACGTAGCTGTCTTGCAAGACAAGATCCCATAAAGAGGGAAGTCTTCCATCCAGTTCTGTCAAGATATGTCATTCTATATAAACACAGAGATAATTTCTTTAATGCTGACATAAAGGAAAAAATCCCACGACTTGCAAACCTTGGGCAATATCTCACCCAGTCCCCTCATACAGTGAGCACAGGCTGGTCGACCAAAAAAGCAAGAGTTTTGAGAAAAAAGAATTAGAAAAAGAGACATCAAACTCAATTTCCTCAACTGTACAAGATTAGAGAGCTTGAAGTCAACCCAGACGACTGTGAATACAATATTTTACTTTTAAAATACCCCGTCAGTGCCCTCGTGAGCTTCTCATTTCACTGCTCCTGGGTGCATGTGACCCAGTGCAACAGCAAACCGGTGCTGCTGCTGCTGCTGCTGATGATGATGATGGTGATGATGACAACAACTATGACGACGATGATGAGGATGCAGTGCTCATGTGTCTGCCAGCTTGCTGGGACCCGTTGGACTCCCGGGACACAAGCTCCTCTTACAGCCACATCGTGCTCATTCACGCGCTCATTCCCTAAACCGGTCAGGCTGCTCTGAGCCAGCAGAACTGCTCTTAAGCCCCTAAGACCAAGTTTCAACAGGATCTGTGTTTGCTTTGACTCTGTTCGCCGCCGGAGGCCGGAAAGCCGGGGACAAGCAGCGACAAACCTCTCCCGCCCTGCACCTCTGTCAGCGCCGCCGAGGGCCAACCATGCCTGGAGCTTTCCTGGTTCCCGGGGTTTGCGGCTGTGTAAAACAGCCTGGTCTGCACAGGGTGAGCCCAGGCTTAGGGGTTTTCACCCCATTAAAACAGAATTTTTACAAGCAGAGGCTTCTCCACGCCGGCTCCTCTCGGCATCCTGGGGCCAAGGCGACGCGGCTGCAAACCCGGGGTCGGAAAGAGGAGGGAGTTTGCGCAGGGCTGGGCAAGGCTGGAGGCCCGTGGGGCAGAGATGCCACCCCGAGCAGCGGGGCGGCGCAGAGACCTCCTCCCGCGGGGCACAAGCCCTTAGGGGAATCCGTGCCTTTACTGTGTCACTTCTGTATCACACCGGTGCATGCAGGACTCGCAGGGCGGCATGAGGACATACATTAAGAAAGCGGGCAATTTATCAGCATTAAGTTTAATAGATCTTAGATTAAATACTACAGTTATCATTAAGAGTAAGCAAAGATTAATATTAATCTCTGTCTTTGTTGGAGTTGGAGCAGAGCCACACATGATGTCTTCACTTGGGAGTGTGCATCCTCAAAATGCCAGGGGGACCATGAGGAGAGGGAAAAGGGGCAAGATTCAGGTCCCAGAGGAAGCCGAGCACCATCCCCGGGCAGGCAAAGCAGCCACTACGGAGCAAAAGCTTCAGGTTGGGGAA